AGCATTTCCTTTCCTTGCTACTCCATTGCTGCAAGCGTACTCGCTTCAGTCGGTGATATACGAAACCATTTTATTGTAATCTTTGTACTGCCATGAAATAGCTCCCCCCTGAAAATTAAATATAGCTATGCTGATGTAGGATTTCTTTCATCCAAAGATCTTCGGCACATTCTGCAGTCTATGTAACCCACATAAGTTTGCAGACTTTTTCACTCAAAAGTTAACATAACTTTGAAGTTCTCTCAGGTATCTGAAGATCCATCTTCACTCTTCCCAATGTGTCTTCTCTGAATTTTGACTAAAATCGCTACACCGCGCCACACTGTATGAGCGAATAGTCTGGCTCTTCTGTTAACTACCATTGCGTACATTTAACTTCTGCCTTTCCCGTACCGGCTGAATAAGAAATGAAATTTGACAATCTCCTTTTCTTGTCTCTGTTGATGGGTTAGTTATTTTCTTACTCAATTGAGGCAGCGGCAAGGCGGAGGCTAACTTTGGTTTAGCATTCTTTCAACTCTTAACCTCCTCTTAGAATCGTTAATTATATTTTCCTGCTCGATAAACCATGAACCCTTGCAGGACTTTCTGTCTCGAACTAATTTCCATTTCGAGAATTCGCCCTTGTCCGAATCCCAAATCCTTCATGTCAAATGCTTCTGATGACCACAATCTCTCGTTAACTTCTGCTAATCATTGTGCCATCTGGTCACGACATTAGGCTATCATTTCAACATATAAGAGAAAGGATGATAATATATAACCATATGGAATTTCTGACATATACACAATGAGGTTGCCATCTGTCCTTTTGCTATCCTTGATTTCACCGGGCACGAATCAAAACTGGTTTTAAAACCATTGTCGCGGATGTTGGTTTAACCCAGTACAAAGGGCTCTTCTTCAAGCGACCAAACCCATGTCCTCTTTTCCCTCTGCCTTGAAACCTTGTTGGTTGTTCATTTAATAGATTTCTTCCTCTAGATCGCCCATGCAAGAAATGCGCGGTCGTTTACATCAAGCTGCTCCAACTCCAAGATTCAAACTTGCATACTAGGACCGAAGACAACCTCGAATATAACTCATTTATTCACGAATTGCGGGGTGAAAAAATCCCTTATTCAATGTCCAATACCTTTTTCTTTTGAGTAAAGCCTTTGCACGACCAATCAGCTTTGTATCTCTACTAGGTTTGCCATCATCTTTCTTCAGTCTGTAACACCCATTTCGTTCTGAGTGGTTCTCTTCCCTTTTGGAAGTCATTCTACCAGCTTCATACGTGTCATTCTTTTCAAAGAATTCATCTCTTCTTGGCATGGCCTTTTGTCCAGCAATCTCTTCTTTGAGCAAAGGATTATGCCACATTCGGAAGCTCTCTACATGTTCTCCCCTTATCAGTAATCAAAGTAATCAGAAACTAGAGGTTACCTTGTAGATGGTTGGCGGCTCTTCCTGGGTTGACCTTCTTACTCGAGGTTGCAAATCCTTTTTGGCTCTGGAATGAGTGGTTCTTCTGGCTCCCCCTTGCTGCAACACCCTCTGCATCACTGTTTATTCATCTACAATTGTCTCTTGAATCCCTGCTACAATTGTCTCTTGATCCCCTATGACTGGCTCTTCTTCTTCTCGTTCTGATTTTGGCATTCCTCCTCCTGTGGCATCATCTGTAGGAATGCTTTCTGGTGTAATGTCAATAACACCATCACTTGTGGATTCTTCACAAGTTGTATCTACCACAATCTCATTCTCGTGGAATACTACGTCTCGGCTCCTGACAACTTTCTTTTTCACTGGGTCCTATAACCTATAGCCAAACTCTTCGTCTCCATAGCCAACAAAAGTGCAAGGAACTGACTTGTCATCAAGCTTTGATCTCTGCTCCTTTGGAACATGTATGAATGCTTTGCAGCCAAATACCCTCAGGTGAGAGCATGAAATATTTCTGCCTTACAGCCAAATACCCTCAGGTGAGAGTATGAAATATTTCTACCTATCCAGACCTTCTCCGGGATATCAAAATCCAAAGGTGCTGAAGGTAGTCGGTTGTTAGGTAGACAGCAGCATTGACAGCTTCTCCCCAAAATGGCTTAGGTAAGTTGGTCATTTTGAGCATGGATCTGACTCTCTCAACAATGGTGTGATTCATCCGTTCAGCAACGCCGTTGTGTTGAGGCGTACCAGAAACTGTCTTTTCATGTCTGATACCGTGCTGACTACAATAATCTCTAAACTCCTTAGAGATATACTCACCACCATAATCCGTGTGCAAACACTTCAATGTCACTCCATTCTCCCTTTCCACCATCGCATGAAATTGCTGAAAGTGCTTAAATACTTGATCTTTTGTGAGCAATAAATATATCCATGTTTTTCGTGAGAAATCATCAATGAAGGTTAGAAAATATCCACTTCCTCCAAGTGATTCTACCTCCATGGGCACAGTACATCAGAGTGTACCACTTCAACTATTGTCTTCTCCTTCAGAGCTGGTTTTAAAAATGGAGACCCGATGTTGCCTTCCCAACATAAACAATAATCTCACGAATAGTTTATTTTAACCTTTCGGCTAATGGTAATTGAGTACTTTCTTAGCCAGACATGTTCAAACCCTTTTCTCACTACGTGCGCCGCGCCTCTATGCCACAAATTTGGTGAAAACATCATCTGCACTAAATTACGTTGGACCCGCCATATCAATTTGCGGGCGTTCTTATACAACAGAGCAACATGAATTTTTCTCCTTTGCCACACCAAGACCCTTGGGTGAGTTTCCAATTACCGCCACCTGTTATGATTGGTCGTGATAGCCTTCCCTTGTGCCAGTACACTCACAGACAACAGGTTCAACGCAAAGATCGTAATATTGTCTTCATATTTTTAAGTGTTAATGTGGCACCCGACACGTGGTCTTGAGGCAGAGTATCACCGATTCACCACCACTTGCGCAGACCACTATTATTTTCCATTTTAATAGTTGCAAAGATCTCCTGTTTTTTATGTAAGTGGAAAAAATATTCACTTTTTGGAACACAGTTGATATGAAGCACGGAGTCTACATATTCCACTCGGTATCTGCATCATCAACTGACAGTGCAATCTGCATCTATGGTGACTAAAGCACCTCAACCATCATTCTCCTACACGTAGCAGATGTATTTCTGTCATCTCTTGTATGTCGGTCATGCATTATTCCTGTCTTGGAGTAAATGACCAATTTCTTTGAGTGAACCCTCCCCATTGTCTACCGCAATGGTAACACATTCTCAGTCTCTCTCGACTCTGGATTTTCTCTACCACCGTGACTTTACATGCTTTTGGACCTTCTACTCCTTGCTCATGGCCCCTATCTCTTCGATGTGAAAGGCCTTGTTGAACTGGTACTGGCAAAGCATCTTTCTTTCTTCGTCAGTTCTTCATTAAGTATGTCTATTAATTTACCTATAGACATCGTCACCACAACCATTTGGGAGCTGAGGTTACTCAATGGATACCACAAGAGTATCCAGCTATCCGGTAAGAGATCCCACAGTTAGGCAGCTTGCATTCTCGGTCTTCCTAAGGACATGCCGCTAACTACTAAATCAGTACGAGTCCTTCAAAATCGTTCAGGTATTTGTTGTAAATCGATTGGATCGTTCCCTCTAACAGCTTTCAATTTCATGACTGTTACGCAGTCATGAAACTTTCCTTGAGCATTCGTAGCCTCGTTACATATCTCTCTAATTTCTTGCAGAGAGCGTGGGATCTTTTCATTTCTCCACATGGTTGTACAGGCTTAGCATCTACTCCATTGGACGTATTGTACCCAATGTCTTGTTCTTTATAATTTATTTTCCATTACTTTCTTTCATTTTTTCCGGCTTATGCACTGTCACCTTCAATTGGAATCAGTATAGATCTTTGAAATTGAGGTAGTCAGGTAGTCCTCCATTCTGGATTTCCACATTGAATAATTCGAATCCGTCAATTTGATCATTGCCCCATCGTTAGCCATGTTGAATTCTGAATCTGATAAAGTTTCACTATTCACGAAATTTACTATTCACGTGAATAGTAACTTTGACAGAATGTACCAACCAATGGCTCTGATACCAGTTGTTGGGATTCTAACTGATCCCGAGTGGGGGCTGCGAAAAATACCGGTGGTAAAAATAAAATAAAATTACTATTACCACATATACCTCCAATAATTAAATATTGAATATTGAGGATCGAATCCACCAGAAATAATAATCACAATAAAAATTAAATAATTACCTTAAATGCCAGATGAAAAAATAAGAACACCGAGATTTATTTACGTGCGGTACACCCATTCAACTGTTCATGGGCTACGTCACGGGGACAAAAACTCTGAATAATTCTTCTAAACCTATAACAAATAGTAGTACAAAAAGAGCATTACAAAATATAGTGGTACTCTATAGTGGGTTTAACAAACAAAAAGTACCTTAAAAAATTTCTAATCCTCAGTATTTTTTCTCTCGTTTCCCAATATTTAGGGAACCCTTTCCTAAAATCTTTCTTATCACACTCTAAATGTATTTCTTATGCTTTCTGTTTTTGTACGCTTTGAAGTTGAAAATCCTTCTCTTTATAGGAGAAGGGGACGCAGCGGACGCGTTAATTCACGCGTCCACTTTTCCCTATTTCATTTCTTTCTTCGGCAGTGGACGCGTTAATCACGCGTCCACTTTTCCCTTTTCTTTCTTTCTTTGGCACCGTCCATTGAATAACAAACTAAACATGCCTATATTTTTTTTTCCTTCATTCAAACGTGTATGGATCCCATACGTTTTGAATCTCTTCTTTCTTCTTTTTTTTTTTTCATTTCAAATGTATATGGGTCCCACACGTTGGAGGGATCACAACATTATTGTTAAATAAAAAATATCATCTACAAAGTGCTAAAGGGACCCCACAACATTACTGTTAAGTAAAAAATATCATCTACAAAGTGCTAAGCAACCCACTTACTTAAACCAATTCCACATGCAAATTTGAATCCCCATATCAGGAAACCATGGATGCTGAAGGAAACAATCTTTATTTTCCGATAATCCTTCTCTTGCTGTCCCTTTGCCTTCTCATTTTCAAGAACTTAAAATCTCCATCTTCTTCACCACCACTTCCTCCAGGTCCATTCTCATGGCCAATAATTGGAAACATTTTCCAAATGGGAAATAAACCTCATATAACTCTAACCCAATTTGCAAAATCCTATGGTCCACTTTTCTCTATAAGACTTGGAACCCAACTAGTGATCATAGGATCATCACAAGAATCCGCCATTGAGATTCTTAAAACTCAAGATCGCGTTTTATCAGGACGGTCTCCCCTTTATGCATCACCACCAAAAAGCACGCAACTTAACCATTTATCGGTAGGGTGGATAGCAGAGTGCAATGAGCATTGGAAATATTTACGTACAACAATAAGAACAGAGCTTTTTTCAGGCAAAGCAATGGCGTCTCAAGCTGGTGCAAGGGAGAAAATGGTTATAGATATGATAAATTTTATCAATAAAATGGAAGGGAAGGATTTGCGAATAAGACAAGTAGCTTTTGCAGCTATTTTTAATATGTTGGGTAATATTTTGTTATCAAAAGATGTTATAAACTTTGAATATGAGAGTGTTGAAGGTGAAATTTGTGGGCCATTAAGGGAAATGATAGAAGTGGGTGCAGCTTCAAATGTATCTGATCTTTTCCCTATATTAGCCGGTCTTGATTTACAGGGTCTACAAAGAAAGAGCAGAGAATGGTTTAAAAAGATTTGTAAGATATGGGAAGTTATTATTAATGAAAGGAGGGAGAAGAACAAAGGTGATAGTGATAAAGTACAAAGAGATTTCCTTGATGCTTTGATCAACAATGGTTCAAGCAATGATCAAATCAATATGCTTCTCATGGTTTGATCTCTCTCTCTCTCTCTCTCTCTCTCTCTCTCTCTCTCTCTCTTCAATATGCGTTCTTCATGGTTTGATCTCTCTCCTCTTCTCTCTCTCTCTCTCTCTGCATCTCCTCTTTCTCTCTCTCTCTGTGTAATAATGCCTTTTTCTTGATTTTTTTTTAAGGTAATCTCTCTCTCTCTCTCTCTCTCTCTCTCTCTCTCTCTCTCTCTCTCTCTCTGCTTAATAATGCCTTTTCTTGATTTTTTTTAAGGAACCATTAAGTATCTGAAGTCTGACGGGCTCAATTAATCTTTATCTGTATCAGGAATCTTGCCGTCCCATCTCATCTCTCTCTATATATATATTATGCATTTTATACTGCTGAAATTCATTTTTTTTTAGTCTTACAATATGTAATTACTAATGTACAAGCAGGAGATGTTCAGTGCTGGAACAGATTCAAGCAGTTCATCAATAGAGTGGATGATGGCAGAGCTGATAAGGAATCCAAAATACATGAAAAAGGTCGAAGAAGAAATACAAAGAGAAACAAATAATGAAGAAAACCTAGATTCTCATTTACATAAGTTCACATTTCTTCAAGCCTGCTTTAAGGAAACCCTAAGGCTACACCCACCTGGACCTCTACTAGTTCCCCATAGAGCAACAGAATCATGCCAAGTAATGAACTACACAATCCCAAAGAATTCACAAGTTATGGTCAATTTCTGGGCAATTGGAAGAGACCCTAAAATATGGGAAGACCCTTTGGAATTTAAGCCAGAGAGATTCTTGAACTCCAATTTGGATTTTAAAGGAAATGATTTTGAATATATACCTTTTAGTTCTGGAAGGAGAATTTGCCCTGGTTTACCAATGGCTTCTAAGCAGGTTCCATTAATTGTTGCTTGCTTGGTCCATTTCTTTGACTGGTCTCTACCAAATGGTCAGATTCGAAATGCAGGTCAAATAAACATGAATGAGAAGTATGGTTTAACCTTGATGAAGGAACAACCTTTACTTCTCATTCCTAAAAGTAAAAAGTAGAGAATCAGCCATATCTGTGGAGATTGATGCAGGTGACGTCTAATTAAGGTTCTCATCTACTTATCTATGTATGTATGTACGTATGTACACATGTATGTGTATGTATCTTGCTGTGTTGTTATTTTTAAAATTTGTGGCTTGGATATGTCTACTTGTTTAATTTGTACCAAGTTGCTAATAAACATTTGTTATAACTATATGATATGTAAATGGCTTCAGGATTAATTTAAGTTCTTGCACCTGCTTCTTGTGACAAATTTTTTTTTTAATTTTTTTGTTTTGGGATTTTTTTTTTTAAATTTCTCTATTAAAGGATAAAAAAAAAAAAGAAAAAAAATTCTGCCAATAGCTTACCTAGCATGATTAGAATTATTGGACTATAATATTATTTTTATATTTTAGTAAAAACTCTCCATTTCCTCGTCAATTAAGATTTAATTCTTTGCAGAATACTTTATGATGGATGAAAAATCCAAAATATATTTTTAGTATAACATTTGTAATTAATTGGTGAATAGAGCAAGTGATTCGATTGAATCCGCACAACAAAAGAAGAAGAGGATTGTTAGATTGGGCCTTGGGCCTTGGTTAAGGATTGCGCTTGTGCTTAATCGTTAGATTTGTTTTGAATAATATAGCCAAATCTTTGACTATTTAATTTAGGGAATTTAAGTAAAGGGAAAATAATTATTTCGTTCTTAAGGTTTGCCATAATTATTTAAGTAGTCTCCGATATTTATATAAATATTTATAACGTTTCTGAAGTTTACTTCCGTCTTATTAATTGGTCCTTCCGTCCAAAAAACACACTTTTTTCGTTAATTTTGAGAGGAAAAGACGAAATTATCCTTTATAATATAACGTTTTCTGAATGATTTTACTTACTCGTACCTATATATTCGGTTTACTCTGCCCTTTCGTCAAAAACACTATACACTTTTTTTCGCTTAATACAACTTTTGGAGAGGTTGAAAAGACCGAATTAATTAGTCCTTATAAGTTTTTCATTAATTTTCGTCACCTAAGTTTCGCTATAATTATTTAAGTAGGTTCCTGATATATTTTATAGAAAATATCTTATAACATCTCTCAAGTCGATCTCCTTACTGTCATATTTTTTGAATCTAGCCTTATTCTGCTCTTGCGCAGAACATAACAATATTCCATATTCTGCATGGCGTAATCTATTTAACCTATAGATATCTATGACCACCACTACCCAAACTCCTCTATCCATATAAACAATATTCCTCTCTTTTTCGAATTCTCATTTGCTTTTCTTTCACTCGCTCACAATATCAAACCGTGGTGATTAAAACAAGATTCCATAGGGCTCGAAAGCAGACACTGAACTAAACATACTACTTGAGCATCAAACCATGTTACAGTATGTACTTTGATTTCTGTACTTTGCGTTACAAAGCATTTTACCTTCTGGCCTCAATCAAACCTTCTCATCTCCAGAACATCTCAAACATTATGCAAAAATCTGTCTCAAAAAGAGACTGATAATCTCTAAGCATAGCAAATCTTACACAGCACAATTGTAATTACTCTTGTTTTCACTTGGAAACCTCACGACGCGCGCTACCACCACTTCAGCAAATGCTCATGTAAATATTTAAATCATACAAATTGTTTTAAACTTAAATTTTAAAACAGTTTGATTTAAACCCAAAATTGAATTCAGACAGATTTTAGAATTTAGAAATCTTACTCAAAATTTAGATCTAACGAATTTCCTAAATTATTGGCGTAAATTTTAGAGAATTTAGGGGTAGTTGAAGGGAGGATATGTTAATTAGAGATTTAGGGTATCTGGTTATTCTATTAACAACACGTTAACAGAAAAATGTGTATTTTTCGGACAGAAGTGCAATCTCAGAGAGTTATGACCAAGACTTATTTAAATGCTAAATGTGACTACTTAAATAATTTATGGTAAGTAACCTCAAGGACGAAAATAATGAAAATCTTGTGTATAAAAGGATTTAGGGTAGTTGAAAGGGAGGATATGTTAATTAGAGGATTTAGGGTAATTTGGTTATTCTATTAAAAATTAACAGAAAAATGTGTATTTTTCGGACAGAAGTGAATCTCAGAGATGTTATAAATATTTATATAAATGTAATGGACTACTTAAATAATTATGGTAAACCTCAAGGACGAAATAATGAAAACTTATAAAGGATAATTTCGTTTTTTCCTTTCAAAAATTAATGGAAAAAGTGTGTTTTTTGGACGAAAGGACCAATTAATAAGATGAAAGTAAACTTCAGGAACGTTATAAATATTTATATAAATGTCAGGGACTACTTAGATACTTAATACTTATGGTAAACATCTGGACGAAATAATTATTTTCCCCAAGTAAATTTCCTTTCGTTTTTATGGACAACAGGAAAAAATTTTCCTGTCAATCTTGACAAGAGGAAAAGTTCCATTCAAGCCTTTTCTTCCCTAGAAAGATCTCTCTGTTGTTGCTGTCTGCGCCTTCCGTAGTGAATCTTATGAACTCAATGAGTCAGGACGGCAGAAAAACAACACAAAAACCATTTTAGAATATTCCAATTTTATTGGATAATTAAGGAATTAGAAATCAGTTAAAAAAGACATGTATCTGAAACTGGAACCCATTAACGAAAGGGAATTATGCATACATCAGAGGATCATCTTCCTGATTTATTACATGTCAATAATTATCAGAATATATGCAAAACAACTAAGTTGAAAAGAAAGTTTGAATTTTAGTTTTTTTTTTTTAATTTTAAAATTGAAATTATATGATTAACGCATGTACTTGCACCTAAACTATTGCCTTCTATTTTCATACAGCAGGCATCTCACCTCCACCTGGAAAGAGATAGGTAGAGATTGGATTGGATATAATGTTTTTGCTGGAAAGCCATATATGTGTTGTTTAATGGTTCAGATTTCTTTTCTCTTCTGAGTCACATTCACAAATTATCTCTGAAAAGGAAAGGGTGGCTTTCTTAAATTGATGAAGAAGGCATGAACAACAGTATTATTATCAAACTGAAATTGACAACGAATTTGCAAGTTTAGTCACTCACCAACTAATAACATTCTCTATATATTTATCCAGCTTAACATTCTTTCATATTAGCTTAAAATGCTAGAGTAGATCCTAAACAGAAACGTTTTTTTTTTTTTTTGTTTCATAAAATTAACTATGGCCATTGAATTTGGAATTAATCTTTTCTTTCCTCTAATCCCTTTTCTTCTGCCTTTTCTATTATGTCATTTAATCTTTAAACACTTGAAACCTAAAAATCCACCACTTCCTCCTGGTCCATATCCCTGGCCAATCTTAGGCAACATTCTTCAAATAGGGAAAAAACCCCATCTAGCTCTAACCCGTTTTGCTAATATATATGGGCCTCTTTTTTCACTTAAACTTGGAACCCAGATTGTAATTGTAGGATCATCAGAAGCAGCTGCCATGGAGATTCTGAAAACCCATGATAAAATTTTATCAGGAAGATATATTCCTCATGTGGCTCCAACAAATAAAAGTCCAGAACTTAAAAATCTTTCACTTGGATGGACTTTGGAGTGCAATGATAAATGGAAGTATCTTCGTACCATATGTAAAAGTGAGCTTTTCTCTGCTAAAGCATTGGAGGCTCAACAATGTAAAAGAGAAGAAAAGGTAATGGAAATGATTGGTTTTATTAAGGAAATGGAAGGGAAGGAAGTGAAAGTTAGAGAAGTAGCTATGGTTACTGTTTTTAATATGTTAAGTAGTATTATGGTGTCAAAGGATCTTATGAGCTTGGATAAACAAGAAAATGGAGATGGAGAAATGGGTTTGCTTCTTGAAAAAATATTAGAGTTGGCTTCTACACCTAACATTTCTGATCTATATCCAATCTTGGGAAGATTTGATTTACAAGGATTGCAAAAGAAAATTATGGAATTGCATGGGAGGTTTTTCGAGATTTGTGAAGGAATTGTTGAAGAAAGAAGAGAAGAGAAAAGAAGAGGATCAATTCTTGGTTCAAATCAAAGAGACTTTATTGATACTCTCATTGATAATGGTTCCAGCAATGACCAAATCAATGTTCTGCTTGTGGTTGGTTCTCTCTATCTCAAAATTTATATCTATTAACAAGTTCTTTTATTTTCAAATATTAGTAACCCTAATTTAGTTATGAATTTTCAGGAGCTCCTATCTGCTAGCACAGACACAAGTAGCACAACCATTGAATGGACAATGGCAGAACTGATAAGGAATCCAGAATGCATGAAGAAAGTTAAAGAAGAAATCACAAAGAAACTAACTCAACAAATAATCACAATAAAAGAATCTCATATACCACAATTACCATATCTTCAAGCTTGTGTTAAAGAAACCCTAAGATTGCACCCTCCAGGACCATTTCTTCTTCCTCATAGAGCCACTGATACATGCCAACTCATGAACTATACAATTCCAAAGAACTCCCAAGTGTTGGTAAATTTTTGGGCAATTGGAAGAGATCCCACGAATTGGGAAAATCCATCAGTGTTTAATCCAGAAAGGTTTCTTGATTTAAACTTGGATTTTAAAGGCAATGATTTTGGGTTTATACCTTTTGGGTCTGGAAGGAGAATTTGCCCTGGTCTTCCAATGGCTGCAAAGCAGGTTCCACTGATAATTGCTTCTTTGGTTCATTTCTTTAATTGGTCTCTCCCAAATGGAAAAGATTTTACTGATTTAAATATGGCTGAGAATTTTGGTTTAACTTTGAGGATTGAACAACCATTAATTCTCATTCCCAAAATTAAAGGATGAGAGAGAGGTAAGTCCAGACAATAAGTTTCCCTTAGCTTGTATGTTAATGCTATTTCCTTTCTTTTAAGTTATTGTAATAATCTTTTTTCTTTATGACTATTATACAGTTTGTAAGTTTATATTTACTCTTCCACCTTAATTCCTATCTCGAGGCAGAGTAATTATAACTCCAGTTCTGTAGAAATAGATTTGAAGCATAATTTTTTTCTTCCTGTAAAATATAGAACTTGATTTAGGTATAAATTCCATCAAATTGAATTGTGGAAAGGAAATAAATTTTATATAATTAAAAACTGAAACTTAAATCAGTAAATGTCATATAAATCACTAAACACAAATCAAATAAATTCATTTCATACATGAGGATTCAACTCTCAAGTACATGGTTCATAAACTCTAACAACTTTCCAACAAAGGAGAAATGAACAAAGTAATGACGGTACTACAAAGAATTTCATGAATACATAAAGAATGAAAGAATAATAATAAACATAAAAACTGACTCCAAATTCTATGGACTTAAACCTAAAAATATGTCTGAAAAGAACTGAAACAGTATGAAACTACTACTGTATTCGTACAAATGCCTCTCGCACTATCTTATCTGCAACAAAGAATGAAAGAATAATGACAACTTCTGCTACCTACAAAGAATAATTAGTATCCCTTCCTGTGTGCAAGAATGGAATGAAATGTATCAAGAAAAAAGAAACCTGTAGCAATCAACTTGGCTGAGAAAAAGAGGATGAGCTTCCCGCAACATCTACAGGAGCCCAAGCAGATACTGTGTAGAGAGGCTGATCTAACCAACTCAGAGTAACTGCTGCTCCATCCTGCCCTTGTTTAGTTACTCTATAATCCTCACAAGAATACATCTTCAACAACATTTGGCATTGAAGCATTTCTCTGTCACTAATTCCCATGCACCGGAATCCTCCTTGCTCCATCAAGTTCCTCCACTTCTCAAAACTCTCGTGCCTTTCAAGCCTATCACTTCCTTCACAAGCAACTATGTTCCTTATTTCCCTTGCAAACATTTCCTCTACCTTGATCCTAACTGGGCTGTCTAATGCAAGGCTAGAATCAATTGAGTCGAATATTGCAGAATAGTACTTCAAAGAATTGCACACTCTCGTTTCCAAATTAGGTGCATTGTGTTCAGCTTCTTGTTCTGCCATAAGGACTATTGTAGGACTGGTGCTTCGAATAAGTCCCAAGAAATCTCTTAATGCTCCTCCATTCCCATCATAGAGTGTCCTGTGCATTTGGAAAATACAATTTATCGCAACACTCTCCCCTTCCTTCACATGTAGCATCCACAGCCTCACGTCTTCTAACCTGTCCACAACTGGATGGAACTCGAAAGGCAAGTTCAATGCCTCTGCAAATCCAGCAAGCCTATCACCTGTCTCATTCAATTCTTGCTTGGACTCACCTATTCCAGTAATTCTAACATGGCTAGGAGGATTAGTCCTAGACGCCAAGCTCTGAAACAAACTAGGCCACTGAAGCCCTTGCTTAATATCGAAGTCTATAATATGAACTCTATCTTTCCCTTCAAAAGCTCTCAGCAATATCTCATTTGCCGTGAAATGAATAAACTTTGGAATTGGGCTTACCTGATTCAAAAGCCTCAATGCAGTCCCTGAATCATCATCAACTCGATCAAACTCGCGAGGAGGGGTGATATGAAAAATATGAGGCCAAAGTCTTGTAACTCTAAGAGCTAAAGCCTCAGTATAATAAGCACAAAGGCGACTAAGAGCTTTTCCCTTTGGAGAAGCAAGATCCCCCAATTTAGCTATACAATGGTTGATTACAGCCATGTTCTTCGACCCAATTGCCTCAACACAAGCAGTAAGCAAACTAACTAGCTCAAATGCCTGATACTCTTCTTGGTGATTCTCCTCTGCAGCTTCCAATGTTGTCCCTAGTTGTGCAAGAGGATTTCTAGAGCCATTACCCACTTCATGCTCCAGAACATTCTCACTTAGTCTAAGACCCAAACTATGACTCTCTGATGATGCACTTGAACCAGAAGCTTCTTTTACTGGCCTTTGGCTACTCTCTCCTTCTTTTTCACCTAAATCAGCGATCTCAGTTATCACAGAATCCACCCATGGATTGTTTGACAATGGCAAAGGTGGTGAAATAACTTCACTAGGCACATAGCAAACCCTTTCCTCATCTCCAGAACATGTCAAAGAGAAAGGAGCTTGTGGAGAAGGGTTTAGGCCTCTAGGAACCTCAAAACCTGACTGAAACCAAAAATTTCGACTTCCCAATTGGCTTAGACTTAAAGCATCTCCACATTCATCAGATTTTTCAAAATTATCATTGCTACCCCTTTTTCTCTTAACCCTATTAGTACAAGACTCATCAACTGACCCCTGCTCTGCAAATCTCTTCAAGCTCTTACCTTTCTCCCAAAATTCATCTTTCACTGATTGAGAACTTGTTGTTGCTAATGGTGGGAGTCTGATATTCTGCTTCAGAGAACAGCTGCTGGTTTTGGATTCGAGTGATTTATCAACAGAAAGACCAACACCAACTGGCCTAATGGGGTTTGACCGTGATGATTCTTTTCGAGAGAAAGTACATGGTAAGTCCAATCTCTGTGTGCTCATTGAAGGTAATTGGAAATGGCAAGCTTGAAATTGTGCAGGTGACTCACTCCTTAATCTATGCCTTGGTGACACCAATGTAGAACTAGAACACCCAGCCAACATCCTCTACAGATTTCCAATTTTTCTTTTTTGTTTTTTTTGTTGTGTAATTCACCCACCCTATTTTCTGCTTCCCTATCTCTCTTTGTTTCTATAATAAATTTTTTGAATTATGAAACAAATGGTTAATTTTTGAGTGTACAGATTCTATGTGTTCATAAAAACCTTTGCATGTATGTACTTGAAAAAGAGAGAGAGACTAATGTGAGTGTGTGAATTTCTTTTGAACAAATCAATTAACAAAAAATAGGAATCCGATGAATTTTAAAAGAATCAAAACGAAAAAGTTTCTGTAAAATTCAAGTGTTCCTATATGGCAATGTGAATGTGCAATCTATAATTAATTAACAAAAGAATGTTCAAAAAATTTCCCCACCCCCAAAAGAATGAAAGAATTTGTTAATGAATCAATCAAACACCTAAAACAAAACAATCATCGGATTCCAACACCTTCAAAACAAACTCATTGAGAAAAGCTATGAACACAATCAACAACAATGGAATTCACTTCGTGAAAGGAGGAAATGTTAAAACATACTCGGCCAATTCGGTAGCTGAAGTCAGTAGAAATCCGTGAACCCACATCAGCATTTGAAATTTGCAGCAACTCCATGTTTACTCAAATGAAACCAAAAGCAAAACCCAAAAACCACAACATACATGAATAGGTGATTAACAAAGAGACGCAGCCCACATCATCACTTCCTAGCTTTCACTACCCAAAGAAACCAGAAACCATTAAAAGCTTGTGTTTTTATATACTATAATGTTCTTTCTTCTCTCCCTCCCTCCCTCTCTCTCTACTACTTCTCCTACTACTACTACTATACTACTACTCCTAGTATAACTTCCATTGCTGTCTATATCATTAATTGCTTTTCCTAAATTCTGTGGACCTGTTCTGTTTTACCCGGCACTCGGAAAAAAAAATGATGACTGTGAAAAAGGGCGTTCGAGAAGATTGGGGAAACTCTGTGTGTGGGCCGTGGGATTTTGATCAAACGGTGAACAATCCAAGTCCAAGTGACCGTTAAGGGATGTCGGTGAAATATGACCGTTGGGGAGTTGGTGTACGGACGAGTGGTGCATGTATGGGTGATTTTTATCCATATTCCTTGCCTCCTCATCTTTAAGTGTGTCTCTCTGCCTGCGTCGTGAGTCACATGAGACGCACGTGCCTGTCCCACGATACCCGTTCAATTGACCGTTAGGCTTTTAATAATACGACATCATCTCGTTTCTATGTTTTTTGTTTCTTTTGTTATTTGTTAACTTCCTTGACCTCCCATAGGATTAGGATTAAGAAAAATGACGCCACATGGCGCCACAATGAGCCGTCATTACAGTCTGATTTTGTAATAATAAATTGTGGTTTGACTAGATGGTTCAGCAATGACTGGCTGGGTCCTTGCAGTATTGTGTCACGTTATTCACAAGACAGGGGTCTATATTTTGTTTTAATGTTAGTATTTTAGTAGTAATGTAGTATCTCAGTTCTATTTTCTTTTTTTTTTTTTTTTCTGGACTAATTAATTGTTGTCTTTGAAGTTTGATTATACTTCAGTTTCCTATACTGTATTTTCCTAAATAAAAAAAAAGAAAAGGATATTTACCTGTAGAGACGGATAAAGGAGAACTAGTGGGGGCCATCGTCCCTACATCTAAATTTTTTTCAATTTTTCCTTTATAAAATTGTGGATTTTTTTTTATTTGGTTCTTTAATTTTTGAAAATTTCTTTTTTGCCATATACAAATATAAATATTTGATTAGACTTTGTTTCCTTAATGCTTTAAAATTTTCGTAAATAATTATTTATACATACAAGATGCTTCTTATTAGTATTTTCTATGAAACTAAATTGGCCTAGTTAAGACAGCACAAAAACACAAACTTGTAACGAAAGGTGAAAGGAACAATCATAATACACCATACCCAGAGTAAAGTTAAAGAATTAAAGATAATACCTTACCAAAGTGGTAAGAAAGTGATCTCATTTGAACGGCATGAACTGGGTAACAAATAAGTAACTGACAAGGAACGGTAAAATTGGAACAATTTTACCCACCTCAAAGACTGAAATTCACTAATAGTGAATAGGAATGGGTCAAATGTACCACTTAGCTGGCTATACTGAGATCAGTAACTCGCCAAATGCTAAAGCTAACCTTATTTGGGGACAGGATGGGTACGTCACAATCCAAGCCATCATCATTCCTCTGAAAAACGCACCCACTTACTAAACAGACAAAGGAAAATCATGCCTGCCAAAGTCCCTGCATAGTTTAGTTATAGCCAGAAAGAAATATTCTACTGAAAATGTTGTTCACTGCTTATGTTATTTGACTGACAACCAAAAATCATTCTGCTGGTCCATTTTTCAGATCATGAGGTTATTGGCATAGTGTTATCTATCCCAAATCTCTAAGATATAGCTGTTTCGAAAGATAGAGAACAGAGTAGATGGAGCAACATCGATACATAGAACTCCAAGCCCAAAAAAAATAAAAACAAAAGATCTCGTTTGCGAGCACAGAAAGCCCCATAACCATAATACCACTCTTACAAGACAACATTCGAAGAGACGAAGCCCTATCCAACATCTTAATATATCATAAATTACTAAATATGTACAGAAGTATTTCTCATGAACTATTAAGCACCCCATGAAACAAATTCCAACCACAATTGCACTGCCCCTCAAGTCGAAATGTACGTGTTCATCTACCCAAATGCCATGCAATTTGTCCAAACAGCACAGACCCAAATAAAACCCCCCAATATGATGTATTACCACATATTTTAATGAAAGTAAATCTTCCAAGGGGTAATTTTCTACAATTCCTAAAACATCTGTCATTGTTAGATCAACTCCAGAAACAAGGCCTCCTGTTTGCTAGTCAAGCCGAGTTCATTCAGTGTCAATGCACTCTCTCCATCGCTGAAAGCACGCCTCGGATAGGGTCTTACCTGTTCAAGTAACAATAAGTTAAGGAAATTTTCCTATAAATATAGTCGCAAAAATATACATGATGCAAAAATTCTCTTAAACAGAAAATTAAAGAAACATAGACAGATATTCATAAAAACTTGGGTACGTATGTTCTCTTAAACAGATAAGCATTTACCAGTTTGTAAGTGCCAGGCTTGACTGCCCTACCAATATCTATAAAGTCGAAAAGAGACTGCAAAGAAAAACAATTGATATTGAGAAACAAAGTTGGTGTATACAAGTATAAAGAAAGAGGGTGTAAATAAGTATACTTTATACAAGCAAGTTACTTTCTTTACAGAACTTACCCTTAAGTTGTCAGACTTGAGAAACCGGCGGCCACGCCGGGTGCCATCAGGCATCCTTACCAAAAGTGTTACAGCATTCTCATTATCTGATGCTGGTTCCTGCGGCAGAGAAGCTTCTTTTGCAGCCAATTGTCTTTCAAATTCCTGATATTTAGCACACATCCAGCTTTTAACGAACATTAAAGATACATTAAGTTGCAAATGTTAACCATCCAATCCAGGAAAAAGTATACAGAAAGTCAATGCTTGATTGGCAGCATAATACACAGTTGCCAAGGCAAAACCAAAAACATGAAACATAAAGGAAAAATATAAGATCAGGTTTAATGAAACTTTTTTCACCACAAGACTATGACGAACTACAACACAAATTGACCAAAAAAGAGGAGTAAGATTTAGATCACAACCTCCATGGAATCCAGTTTTAAAATGAGACAATATATAAGCATACCTGTGCTTCCTCCAATTTCCTGCGAGATTCTTCCTCTTTTTGCCTCTCTTCTTCAAGAGCAGCTCTCCTAGCAAGTTCTTCTTCTAGACGACGAGCTTCAGCTTCCTCCAATGCCTTCATCTCCTTTTCTCTGTCTGCTGCCAATGCCGCAAGATACTCATCATCCTGCATCCATTGAATAAGTTATGTTATCAGAGCATTACTGATGATTCAAAAACTTGAATCTTTATTTTCTGGCTGGAACCCAAAAAGTAAACCTGCTGTTCACGGATCAATCGCTGAGCTTGCAAGGATGGTGACGGAGGACGAGGTATCTGCTGAGAATAAGGCCCTTCAGCTTGCATGAATTGGTGAGGGGCGTAAGCAAAGCGATATCCAGTCCCTTCAGGAATTCCACCAAACATTGCAGCCTCAAGCATGACGGCCTCATCATGCTCTAGAGAAGAGATGCCTCCCCACTTCAAATTGTTACAAAACAAAAGGCCAAAGAAGATGAGTTTGCTTATATAACATCCGAGTCTCATTAATTCTGGAACTCAATTGAATTATTTTAGAAGGCATAATATAAAAGGAAACCTCATCAGAATGAAAGGAATTTCCATTGTGCTGTGGATGACTGCTTGTATTATTTTGTCCAGGACTGGATGGTGGACTAGCCTCCACTCCAACATCTCTGGCAGATTCCACTGAGCCAGAAGATGTACGTCTTGATCTATGCCTAACAAGAGGCTGTTCCTCCACATCTTCAGTTTCATCCTGAATAGACAACCTTCCTGACCTCAACCTAAACCGCAACCAGTGAAATCTGTCAATTTTCTCACCTCTGCTAGTGAATAACTTTTAAAACATATTGTTTAGCATCCTTCGTTGTGATCATATCGTTGCAGAGAAATGCCATGACACACAGGGTTGCAGAAACAGATTCACATAATATGTCTAAAGAGCAACAAGCAATATAATATTACCTTCCATTTGAGGTTGCTATTGGCCCCAATTCCACCTCATCTGTTTTAGAAACTCCCATTTCCGATGCTCCAACTTTTCCCCCCTGCTCCCGTAATGCTTTCTCTTGTTCTGCTGCCTGGAACCATTCCAATATCAAATGAGACAGGAGAAGTCTATAACTAAAACAACAGATGACAGCAAACCTTCAAGGAATCCTTTTCCTCCATTTTTAAGGGTAGAAGGAGGATAAAAGAAGATTTCATTAAGGAATGAGAAAGAGAATTACAAAAAGGATGAAAATGCAATCCCCTCTCCAACAAGAAAGGCTTCTAACATTGTGGGGTCTAAGGAGGTCAGATGCACACAATCATCTCCTTGCATCATCATATTGAGGCTATTTATGTGGTTTACACCTATGATCTTCATACAATAATAGAGCAACCTTGCTGTTGTGCCATGTCTCTATTCTCAAGCAAGTAAAAAACAAAACACAAAAAACGTGTACCTCCAGGAAAAACTGATGTATCATGATGACACAAATTAACTTATAAAGCAAATACTTCTACTAAGTAGAATGAAAAAACTAAAACAGTAAACATATTAAAATCTCCTGCATTGCATATAAAATAATTTGTTCAGTTAGGTTACCTCAGCGTCCTTCTTTGAAGCCTCTATAGCTGCCCGAATCATTTCTTCTTCTATGTCATTGCCATAGTCTGGCAAATCATTAAATTCAGGAGCACTAGGTCTAGCATGTCTATCATGAGCACCATCACCAGAAACATCACCTCTTTGATCAGTCCGTGATGTAGCCTTTCCGATTAGGCTAGTTGGAATATCATCATCATCATCAACTATGACAGTCCCACGAATATCAGGGCCAGATGCATGTTCAGTTCCAGTTACATCCTCAATGATAGGTGCATGACCGGAACGGCTAGTTGAATCACTACCATCCTTAACCTCTATAGGTATCTCTCTCCTCTCTCTTGGTTGTGAAACAAATGGTGCACGGTTCATAAAATCAGAACCACCATCAAATAGACTTCTATGGAAGTGTGAATCAAGAATTGAAAACGGGTTCATTGTACTAGCCTCAGATAGAAGTGACAGAGGATTTCTCCTAGGTGCAACTTCAGCTGGATCATCTACATCCATAAGATCGTCTTGAGGAGCAACAACGGAAGTTCCATGTGCACTAAACATGAGAAAAAAAATTAAAACATCACTCCTCAAACTTGCTAGAAGAATTGCACATTGCAAAGTCTAATTACCAGAGAATGGAAAATAAATATTGAAAAAGAAAAGGACAATAAATAATGGCATCCAAAATGCTAAAACCACTGACGTGCTTCTATCTCCTTCACTGAAATGTGCATTGACAGCTGCATTGAGGTCACCATGATGCTCCTAATTGAAAGCAAAAAAATGTGTAAGAAATTGCAAGAGCTAATCCTCAATTACATTGATTCAAAATTCTAACAAGTAAAAGGCATTATCCTTGAATCTGAAATTAAATACACAAGACAAGTTCAAAAACTAGCATTTACTTGTATAAATAACCCCAAGAGATTCCTCCGCAAAAACATTCTCCCAGGAAAAAATGTCTCATCTTTTCCTATTATCATAACCAGTTCCTATCATCAACAGCAAGTATACCCGAATCCTTACATTCAAAAGAGCACAAACCTTTTCAAAATATTTTTTATCAGTCTAAATTAAAAGGCAGAATAAGAAGAAAAAAGGCATAAGTGCAAGCAGCACGTGATGATTTTAGAATCCACAAAAATAAAAAAGATCATTCAAATGCTTTCATAAAAGTTTGCAAGATGATATGGCCTATCAATAAACAATAGTATCAATGCATTCCACTGCTTCAAGCAGAGATTCATCAATTGTAATACACGTACTAAAACATCAGAGCTCCCCACCATTTGAAGCTGACAGTTACGCAATAAAAGTTGGGCTAAAGGGATGAATTTAAAACAGAACTTTGTGAAACCGGCAATAACTCACGCCTATCCACCAGTTCAGAAGGCCATTGAAATACAATTGAGAAACTAGTACAATCAACCAATTCTGAAGAAACCCAATTACCCAAAAAGAAAAAGCAATTAGCAAGACTCAGAATTTATAAAGGACAACCAGTCTCTAAATCAATGAGTAGGTACGCTTAATTATATGGACTTGTCTCAATTAAAAGCATATTTCAATTTCCTCCACGCATTCTAGCAACTCCTTGAAAATACTAATCATCTAGAAGAAAAATTCATTATAAAATCTGACCCAAAAACCACATTAGCTTCATCAAAGTTCCAATCATCACTAGAATAATGATAATAGTAAGACTAATAATCAAATTCAAACCGGAAGATAAAAATGTCATCCACACATTAGCTGCTAAAACTAAATCAATAATGCTGACAAATTTTTTCTTAAAAAAGAAAACCCTAATTAAAAATCACAATTACACAATCCAGCGTCAATCTAAACACAAAACAAGAGTAACATTATCAAAATCATCTCGCAATTACAATCAAAATTGAAAACAACAAGAGAATGACAGAGCCGATCAAAATTAAAACTAAAAGTTAATAAATAATGATAATACCTCGAGTGTCTGCACCGCAACAGCTTCGGTGACGCCGGTGATGCTCATAAATGTGTCGATTGCATCTTGATTAGGCCTAGCCATATTGTTCTGAATCGATTAAGCTAGTAATGTTAATAATAATAATTTAAACTGTGTTGAGAGTTTTTTGTGAGAGTTTCTCTTATGGAAAGAGAAGAGAAGAGATATTTGTTGTGGAATCTGAATAGAAGGATCTAAATTAGGGGTAAAAATTAAAAATTTTGTTGTTTGGTAAGGATTATTAGCATATGTTGAATGTGAAACCGTGAAGGTGCTTTGAAGAGTTTCTACAATATTCTACGCTTTTTCTATGGTTAATGGCTTGCTTTGTTGGATTGGAGAAGAAACGGGTTTGTTTGGTTTTTGTCAATTTCTTAATTGGGCTTAAACAAGTAAACCTGACTTGCTGGGTAAGTCGCCCAACACAAGCCAGGAATATTTTTGTCAACCTTTTAATTGTTTTTTGCAAATATATACTGACTGAATAAATTATTTGATTCTGCTAAACAAAATGTAATTTTCCCAATTTTTTGAAATTCAAATATGCAAGATTAGGGGGTTAACTCATATAAAAACAATATTGGAGAAAGATAATTATAAATCTGATCGAAATTAGTGTTATATTTGTAAAATTTATAGATAGATGCTCACGAGAATATCAAGTTATGTTCTATTAAATTAGTCGTAGTATTAGTGTCTCATCAGAAGTTAGAAGAGAATAATATTTTATAATTCAAGCTCTCAAACTCTAAACAATATTGTAAAACAGTATTAAAATACTAAAATTGAGAAAGCAAAAAACAAAAGTTAATATGTTTTTTTTATTTTATTAGTATATATATATTATATATATATATTATTTAACAAACCGAGATTGAATTCAATTTTTTGAGTTTGAGTTGTAATATACGTTATTGAGTCGAGCTCAAATTTAACAGTAGTTAGCTCGGATCCACAGAGCTCGTTTACAGTCTGGGTATGAACAAAATCAAGGAATTTCACAGCCCAATAGGCCCAATTTCATCGAACAAAGGCCCGATGCGATAAAAAATTTGTAGCGGAACGCTTTAGACGACGTCGAATTAGACGTTATTTAGATACGCCGTGCTCTTCTTCTGAAGTCTCGCATCTGGTCCCTGGCTCTCTTTTCCCGGTGAAAACCAGTAGCCTGAAAATGGAGACGATGAGAAAAGAAGAAACCAATCAAGAGAAAAAGAAGAACAAGGGAGTAGGATTTTGGAGATGGACATTTTGCTCAGTGATATTAAGGCTCTTTCTCATTTCTTTCTCTCGAAATCTCAATTTATCTTCTCGGCCCGAAGTCTCCACTCCTCTCACCAGCCTACGACGCCGTATCTCCTTCTCTGTCTCTGTTTGCATTTGAAAAGCTTACAATACTAACTTAATTATTTTTTTATTATTATTATTTTTTTTTTTTTTTGCTGCTGTAGTTGCTGAAGGTTACTGGTTGAAGCAATTATCGATGTCTCCTTATGCAGGTTTGATTTTAATTTAAGAATTCGTGGTTTTTATTGTTGAATATAGGTGAATTGATCTAGAAAGTAGTTGTTTTTACTGTTTGGCTATGTAGGATCTATGTACCATGGTTCTCCATTGTTGCTCTCACTGCTTGGACCGCTTACTGTTAAAAGGTAAAAATGCATTGAGATTAATTTTATAACTCGATGATCTATTAATTTTTGGCTGATTTTGTTAAGGTTCATTTCTATATGATCTTGTTATTTGAAAAGTTTTGAGCTGAGTTCTATTAAAATTTTTGATACTTTATTATGTTAACTAGATTCTTGAATCCTAATTAAATATTTCCATTTTTTTTGGGAAATGCATGATAATCGATTCAATATGTTTTATTTGATGGTGCAGAATTGAAGGGCAACCTGATCATGTATTGTGCAGGTATGACCATTGGTGTTGGTTGCCGCTTTTTTTAGCTAACATGCTATGCATTAAAAGTTTTGTGTTGCATTCATTTTTTTTTTTGTACATGTTTCTTGGTATATGTGTGTGTGTGTGTGTGTGTGTGTGTGTGTGTGTTTGTGTGTTCAAAATTGTCTATGTGTGTTCTGGAGTGTTGTGTTCTTGTTTATGACCAGGTATGTTAGCCTGGTCTGTTCCTATGATTTTATGAAAAGTTATTTTAGTTCTTATTTTATTTAAATGTGATCAGATATGCATGTCTAGCTTTATCGTGGATGTCTGTATAGAAAATCATGAGAATGATTGTTGTTTAAAGTAGCAATATCTGAATTTATATATCCAATAATATTTTTAATATTCTTGGTAACTGGTTAATCACTTGAAGTCATTAATAAGCGGAAGAGTTAGTATCTTGTGATAATTAATCATTTGCTTCCTTTGTTCACATTTCACAATATAGAATGAAGTCTTGAGCTGATGTTTTTTTGGTTGGGTTGGTCTTGTTGAGGATGTTGTGTTTGGATCTGTGTTATGCTTCATTCTAATGCAACTTAGACTTACATTCATAGTGTATTGTTCTCTCTTATCTTGCTTTTATCGGTCATTTAGTCTGGCAGTTGATATCAACACATTCTCGTATACAGTTTGCTTTTTGTCATTGCAGATATTATCAGTGCTATGCTTATTCGTGCGACTGGCTGGAAGCTGCAAATGTCATATAGACAGAGCTTGAAAGCACTTGATATCGTTAATGTACTAGAAAACTCAGGTAGTTCTGAAATGTATCTTCATTTATGTTCTGATGTGAGCTGGATATCTTAAATGTTTTATTAATCGGAATTAGGAAGTACATGCACATTTGATAGAAGAGACCTTAAAAAGAGGAAATTTTATTAAGATTAAAAAATAAAGGTTAACAGCAATGCAAAAGAGAGGCTCAAGTAACCTTGATACTTTTAGTGCCCCAAAGACTAGTTACCCTGCGCTTTTCTTCATCATGTTGATTAAGAGCTTTTGATTCTGTATGGGAAAGCAAATTTTGGATGCCCTTTATATGCATAGTTGATTGAATTATATTCAAAATTATATTTGTCTCTCTTCCATCCTCCCCTTCATTGTTTGATGAAGTGCAAAATCGATCTTGTTTCCAGATTTACTTCCTTCAGGAGATATTGCTGCTCTTGTGTACTTGTGGAATCCATTCACAATAGTTGCATGTGTGGGTTTGTCAACTTCACCAATTGAAAATCTGTTTGTTGTACTAACACTTTATGGAGCTTGTACAGGTAAGTTTTCAACAGTCTTTGCATGGTATCTATTGATTATATTTTGGATTATCACGGTGATCTTCGCCTCCAACTTTGATGAGAATTTTCAACTTCAATTCTTCCCATAACTATATTTCACATTGATGTTTGTCTCTTGAACACAGTCTTTCATATTACTGGACCTAAAAACACCATGATCTTTGTAATGCTGATGAATTGTAGTGCTCTCCATGGTGTCATTTTAGGCATTCTACATTTTTGAACTCCCTTGATTGTCTTTCATAAAACATATGCGAGTAGGGTCTATTTGCAGTTGATTATGGATGGATGAGTGTGGATCCTCTGCTTGAAACTTTTGTAACCTTTTTTTTAATTAAATATTGTTCTTTGATGGACCACAGGGCTAGTTCCCTTGGCAGCTTTTGGATGGGTTATGGCAACGCATTTGTCCCTTTATCCAGCAATTCTAATTATTCCGGTTAGGTCTCTTTTCCTATGGAATGCATGGAAAATGTTCTTTGAAATTCTGTACTGCCATGTGTGACTCCTTGGATAATCAAATTGTTCGAATTTGTCCAGACAATTCTTTTATTAGGATTCGGTCCTGATGCTCCCCCAAGAAAGTTGTTCCTGCAGAACGGATTTTGTAAAATTGGAGATAACAACACTAGTGATTTACATCACAAACAAGAGGAAATGATCCACCAGTCAAAGCCACAAATCATTTTTAAATGGAGACCAGTCATACTATTTTTATTATGGATTTCTCTCTGGTCAGCCTATGTGTTGGTTCTATGCAGCATGTCTGTCAAGCAGTATAGTAGCCTGTGGGAGATGTTTCAAAGGTATCAGTTGAATATGTAGCCTTTTGCATATGGCTTGTTCAAAGTATGTTATTCTGCTCTTATTTAAACTCTCATATGATAATCCTTCATGTCTGGCTCTGTTTTGCAGCACATATGGGTTCATTCTTACAGTGGAGGATTTGTCACCAAATATTGGTGTTCTATGGTAAGCGGGAATATATCCTTATTATTTATTGAACATGGAGTAACTTGATGCATGGGTATTGTACTTTGACATCTGTTTGACTTTAATTTCTGTGCAGGTACTTTTTTGCTGAAGTTTTTGATTTCTTCAGAAATTTCTTTTTGATAGTTTTCCATGCAAACATCTTGTTCATGGTATTGCCATTAGCCATAAGGCTACACCACCGACCCTGCTTCTTGGCTTTCATCTATGTTGCAATCTCATCCATGCTTAAATCATATCCATCAGTAAGTTCTTCGTTGTTTGCATCGATATCCTTTTTTACCTAGATTGACTCTCTTGTTTCAAAAGTAGAACTTTTCCTGAGCATATTAACTTAACTCATACTTTCTGTCCTGATCAGTTGTCCAATTAGAAATTACTGAATTTAATATTTTTAAGTGGAACTGGTTAGCAGCATATAATTTGGAGAACACGTAATGCCATATAGATGGTATAATGGCCCCAGAGATATTTTCAAGTTATGAATATTTACACTTTGAGGCATGAGGTACTTGGGAGCATTTTACTAATGGAACCTGCCTGTTTTACCTCCTTTTGGCTAGAAAAATAGGTGAAACTTGAAAGGATGGGGTTTACATTGTAGGGAGCTTGATAGCTATATAATCATTTCTATATTTTTTATGCTCTTTTGAAAGTCACATATCTGGGAACTTGGCTTTGAGTTCCTTATATTGAGGGTGGTTGTCTTCTTTGGGATGCTAACATGATTTCAAGCTTCTAGATTGGCAAATCATTTGTGACTAAAATTCTCTATCTCTTCAAGCAGTGTCCTCCATTGAGAAGCAGCCCATCAATCATGACAATGAATTAATTTCTTTGTGATTTCTACAATGTTTGTTATTCTCTATGAATTTATTATATTTTTGGTTCAATTTTGACTAGGTTGGAGATTCAGCTCTATACTTAGGTTTGTTGGTTTTGTTTCTTGATGAATTAGCAGGTAAGTTAGTGGATTGTTTTTTCTGTTACTTACATATTTGATCTTAGTCTGGGATTTTACATCTTCGTATACTGCCATGCAGATATGCAGTTCTCTTTCTTCATCTTTTGTGGATATGTTGGGGTTCCCCTGCTTAGCCCTGTGATGCACAATCTATGGATTTGGAGGGTATTACTCTTTATGGAAAAAATCTTATTAGCTAAATCAGTAGCTCAATATCTATATCATGGCTTATTTATTCAAAATTGCAGGGCACTGGCAATGCAAACTTCTATTTTGCAACTGCAATTGCTTATGCTTGCTTGCAGGTAAATTGTTTGGTTTATGGTATGCACATTGACATTTGAGGGCATGAAAGTTTTCTTGCTGTGTTCCATTAATCCTTTTCCAAATTTCTGAATCTGAAATTGAACTTCAGCAAACCGAATTAACCGATAAAATATTTAGTGGTTGATATAATGGTTGAAATTCCCAAGAAAATCATGTGACTGAATATCTTTCAGATTCAATTGATTTTTCTCATGTACATTCTCAAGTTTATTCTCTGATAAAAAGCTATTGAAAATAGTTGTGCTTCCGAGTTAAAAGTTTGTGGCAGTGCTAACCTAATGAAAGAGCTTTTCCAAGATTTGCTTGCTTAGCTAAAAAATAATAATTGCACACACTCAGGGAGTAGGACAGATATCGCTTAGGCCGTGAAATCTTGGCGAGGCATGTGAGTGATTTGATGCACTATCCAGTAGGTGCAACTGTAGAATTCTCTGACTTTTGTGATTCACAATCTAACATTGGTTTTCTTCCCCCTTTTTTTTTTTTTTTATTTTATTTTGCAGATTATTTTGGTGGTTGAGAGTGTTAGTGCTATGCTTAACCATGATAGGAAGCTAAGAGAGCGATCTGCCACGACACTTCAAGATAAGTCTGTCAAAACGCCTCAAGATGAGAAATCTTAGCCACTTCTCCAAATCAGGCATGTATAATTATGATGCATCTCTTGGCCCTTAAACATTTCAAGCCCAAAAAACTCAGGAGGTTTCCTCATTTCAGTCTGTTTTGCTTATTCTAGAGTGGCTCTGTTTTCATGAATGGAAAGATCGAGTTGCTGCATCGAACAACATAACATATATCAACGCTCTACGGAGGATTGTTTTCTGAATTACAGCCTTTGATAGCTTTTGTTGTACACTGGGAAATGGACTTGGTTTATTATTTTTCTACCGAGTAGAATAGTCTATCCATCTTTAACATACTCGGTTCTGTTTGTCAAGAATTTTGTACTGAATTATTATTCAATAGAGCTCAATTTTCACTGCATTTAAACCATACGAGCCTATTTGATATTCAGATTGAAATCTATTTTTCTGAAAAGCCCTCTTTTTGCTATTGTACAAAGCAATTTTCTTAAAGAAGGAAAAGCAGTTTAGCCTTTTTTTTTTTTTTTCCTTAATTTTGTAGTTAAAATTCGTTCTAACCACGGTTGGTAAGTAGCCTTTGGAGGTTTTTACATGAGAATTTCAGTGTAAAAATAAAATTATAATAGCATCTATTATAAGAGAGAAGGAAGCCAACTCAGTCCTTGTATCATTATTACAGACTTGATCTTTGTTGGTTAGTCTGACAAGCTAACCGTTTTGATATTTGGTCCGTGGGTCATGGACAAATTTAACCAAATAATCAACTTTTTGAATTAATACCTGTCAAATAATGCCTAGTAACAAACTAGCAGTCTGGCATGAAAGGGTGATGATGATGGTGTCTTCTGTTTTTTGCATCCCCCACCACAATACAAACCTTACTAGTTTCAACGCTGTTCGTCAACTCTGTTTATCACAGATTAAGTTATACCTAATCACCTTTTAAGTTGTGATTAACTCAAACACTTGATTGAACTCGTATTGATGTACCTAATCACTAAGTGAGGAGAATCAACCTGAACCTGGTATTGGGGAGGATGCGAATGTCAGTTCTTTGACATGGAGAAAGAAAAAAAGAAAAAAAGAATAAATTTTAAAAGACGAGATATATACAGAAAGTGAAATTTCAGAGATTTAAGGATGAAAACATAAAATTTAAGAGACTATAAAATTATTTTTAAAGTTTTGAAATTACAGGAGTCACAAAATTATTTGATTTTAAAGTTTATTTATTTTATGGATTAAATCATGTATTAGGCAATCTTTCAAGTATAATTGAGACAAAGAATACATGCATGAACAATGAATAGAATGGGATTAATTGGGTTGCAAGTTTATTTTTGTAATTACCGAAGCTATACTCCTAGTGGCCCTAGATGTAGGTTATGGATGACCACAAAGATAATCTTTCTTGCTTAGCTAAATGGCTTTCATTAATTTGCTATTAGTACTAATTAATAAGTGTGCGGCAGTTAATTTATTTCAGTTATCTAAGATACTGTTTGAGTAGTAGTAGTATTAATTAAAAAATTAAATACTTAATTAAGCACCAAAAAGAGAGATGTTGATGTTTTCGTTATTCTCAAAGTTGGTGTCTCCATGTCAGCAGACCAACCTTGGCTCCATTCAGTCTCCATACGATACACGTGGTTACTTATTCATCTCTTGTACGTATGGTTAATACTTATTAAATACAGGGAAGCATACGTGTGTCGTTTTATACCTTACGGTGAAAATTCGTGTGTCCAATGCCTCAACTGGAGGTTCCTGCAGCTTCTACGTCTAATCTAACGCCTCAATTAATGTTGTAATACTTTTTCGTTTCATTTTATTTATTTATTATTTTTTTTAAATGTCTTAAAATATTTATAAAATTTTTAAATTTAGGACTTTTAATGCCTTAACGAGTTATTAAGAATAAAGAAAAGTAAAATAATTTTTATTGATTAAAATTTTAATATGCGTATTTTATCAAACTATGTAAATAAAATAAGATGGATGAAGTATTTTTTATTAACGAAAATAATAATCTTACTAATTAGACTAATTATGTTAAATATACTAGAATTTTAAAATCTTAATTACTCCCATTTAAATTATGTAAACAGTGCGGCTAAAGGTCAACCCATATAACTTGAGAGAGCAAGACAAATCTTATGGCAACATTAAACATTAGGCTGTCTTTGACTAATTGACCAGAGAGACTCATTATAGAGCGAAGCCTCACTAGACCAAAACGTCACACTTATCGAGTATAATAAAATTCAGCTACTTAACTACTAATTATGGATGAGTTAATTAAAATTATTAGTATAATCCAGTGAAATATTTTATAATCTCCCGATAATGATATTTAACATTACAGCATAAAAGGAATATTCCAAATTCTAATGTATAAACACCAATATCTCTTCATCGTATGCTTAACCATTTAATATTGCAATGTCCTTTTAATTATATTAACGCGAACTTCATTTCAAAAATAAATCGTTTAAAGTTTTTACGTGGAATTAAAAAAGTTTCAGCCGAGTAAAAATCAACCAGAATGATTTTAGTCCGATTCTAATTCAAATCAAACTAGTTTGCATATAGACTTTAGGTTGTCCGCAACCTGAGTTCCTTCCCTTAGACTGTAATTTAATAAAGCATTCCCAAGGCGCACGTAACAGACAGGAAGAACAACTTTCTCCTTAATCCTCTCTTCCTCGTGTAATTCAACACCTGCATTATTATCATCATCAATCCCTGTATTATTATTATTATAGACATGCAGTGCAATTAAAAATAAAATAAAATCTTTCATTGAAGAAATAGACAGTTGTCCAATGATCATTTACATTACAAATAACTTGCATACTTAAATGTTTCGTGCTCTTCGTACTTTCATGCTATGTTTCGTAAGCTGTAATAGAGCATTAATGTAATGTAATCGATAACATTTCTAGTGTTACACTTTCTACACAAACATACTATCTAGCTCACTATTACACACACAGCTGGGTTTGAACATGTGTGAAGCATAAAAATAAGCAACAACTAATTAATCAAAGACCATTTTTTCTAGAACCATCCGATCATCAGAAAAAAAAAAGGAATCAAAAGAATGAGGTCTTCCCATGTAACGGACTAACGTAAAAGATTTTCTTGATAGGGAGACTGTGCTTGTGGATTCCCATAATCAGATTTGTGACTTTGGACGATCAAGACAGGAAGGACCCGCTAGACCAACACAGATAGATATAAGAATTTCCAATATCATTACAAAATGTTACTTTAAGGACTAAAGAATAGAATATTTGATTTCCTAGCAACATATTATATTATATCATTGCATGATAGCTTAGTTTAGTTTCTAATTCCAAAAATCAGACCTTTACTGAGCTGTCAGTGTTCTGCACCCCATCAAGGATACCATTTCCGAGCCCATACCTACCAATTAAACATAAGATTAGAAAACAAATAACCAAAAAACACATTTAGACCTATTTAGATAAGGGAAGTGTAATCTCAAAATGGGATGAAGCCAAAGCTCTTTACAGCATTCTTACACAGTCAATCTGTTACTCCACATATTATATCTGCATACAAAATGTGAAAGGAATCTTAAAACTAAAAAATATATATACATGAGCAGACAAAGTTTTCAGTCTCCATATGCATGTAATCTAGTTCTAAGCATAGTCTTAACTTTCACTCTCTTAGGTCTTTGTCTTTGTAGCTTCGTTCAATATTGTTGTATGCAGAGATCAAATTTTAATAATCCAATTGGACATAATGGAGGGTCATTCACAGTGACCTACCTATATTGTAGTAGTAGTAGTAATTGCATTGAGTTTGAGTCTGTGGCTCAATAGGCCGGTGCGGGTGGTGCTCTATGTGTCATTATCAGTTAACATGGTCGACTAGCATAGACATACCTATGGTCAAAAAAATTTTCAAGATGAGAACAAAAGAATATACAGTAGTTGAATGCATCTAGAACCCTCTAAGGGAAATCACCACTGATGTATGCACATACATCATATTGAGAATGGTATATGCTCAATGACTACAGCTAAGGAAGATCTAGGATGAGATCCAATTTTAACAAATAGCACTTTAAAAAAAAAAATAAAAATAAAAAACAAGAAACTGTGATACATCTTCCCTGGCATAAGCACAAAACATAGATATGGAGTATGTAGCATAGATATTGAGAAGAGTTGAACAAGTTCATGAAAATAATTAGGTATTAGTATTTAATGACGTATTGAAAGATTGGTTTCAGACGCATAATTGGGTTGGATAGATACTCTGAACCTCTATACTTTCAGAGTAATTACGTGAACTCTTAAACTTGATTATCCTATACATGTAATTATACATACCAAAAAGGAAACACGTAGTAAGTTTCATGTGGTAAGCCTTAACACAGTAAGAAAAACCTTTGACGTATGGAATATAGATAAGTGACATAGAAAAATAATTTTAAGCTATTCTGTTCTACGTTCAACTACTTTATCGAGCAACTTAACTATTTGCTTGGCTAGTTCCAACTTCTGTAAATCTTATATAAGATCTCCTGATGGATACTCAGATACATGCCAGCACTTTATTCTCTTCCCTGTCTAATCTTCCCACGTTTCCCACCTCAAAATCTTGTTATTTCTGGTAAACTGCATCTGTCCTTTTTCTACTTCTGTCTAACATATAACAGTATCTTAATCTTGTCCTCAATCCAAGATCTTTTCTGATCTTGCATTTACATCTGTGCAAGATGTGGGCTTTGTGTTTTGGAGCGTTGGTCATTATAAGTTTCACACGTTGGGTTTACCGCTGGAGAAATCCCAGATGCAATGGGAAACTTCCCCCTGGCTCAATGGGATTACCACTCCTCGGCGAGACATTTCAGTTCTTTGAGCCCAACTTTTCCGCTGATATTCCTCCCTTTGTCAAAAAGAGAATGAAAAAGTAAAATTCTTCTAATCTAATCGCTGGTTCAATAACTACTGCATCATCATCATCCACAACTAATACTTCTTATTCTTCGTCATCTAAAGTTTTTCCTTTTGTTTTCAGATACGGGCCAATATTCAAGACTAATTTGGTAGGAAGGCCAGTGGTAGTATCGACAGACCCAGATCTTAATTACTTCATTTTCCAACAAGAGGGACAGTTATTTCAGAGCTGGTATCCAGAGACATTTACACAAATCTTTGGAAGACAAAATGTAGGTTCATTACATGGGTTCATGTACAAGTACCTCAAGAAAATGGTGCTAAATCTCTTTGGTCCTGAAGGCCTTAAGAAAATGCTCCCTGAAGTTCAAAAAACAACATATGATAGATTATGGCTATGGTCTCATCAGGACAGCATTGAACTAAAAGAAGCAACTGCTAGTGTAATCTCTGATTAGCCATTCTTATTTTCAAAAGTTTCTATTAGAAACTCATTGTCCTGGATCTAATAGTAATTTGACCTTTACAGATGATATTTGATCTGACTGCAAAGAAGCTGATAAGTTATGATGAAAATAATTCCTCAGAGAACCTGAGGGAGAACTTCGTTGCATTCATGCAAGGCTTAATCTCCTTCCCTTTGGAAGTACCTGGAACAGCATATCACAAATGTTTACAGGTATACCCAAGTCAGTCGATCATAAAAATTAATTCCACAAATGAAATTTATATTTCCTCAAATGACAATGTCAAATTTTTGGCTTTTACCATTCTATGTTTTCTCAGGGTAGGAAAAGGGCAATGAAAATGTTAAAGAACCTACTACATGAAAGAAGAGCAAAGCCGAGAAAGCACCAAAGTGATTTTTTTGACTTTGTACTTGAAGAACTTCAGAAGGAGGGATCAATTCTTACAGAGGCAATTGCTCTGGACTTAATGTTTGTGCTACTATTTGCTAGCTTTGAAACCACCTCCTTGGCCATAACTATGGTCATCAAATTTCTCTCGGACAGTCCACTGGCACTAAAGCAATTAACGGTTCGTAAGAATAGTTAAATATGATAAAAAATAAAAATTGAAAGTCTTTACCAACTTATATTAAATCAAAACATGACATGCCGTCGATGTTCCTCTTCCCAGGAAGAGCATGAAGCAATTCTGAGAAATCGAGAAAATGCCAACTCTAGCATTACATGGAAAGAATACAAATCAATGACATTTACATTTCAGGTGGGTCTATTTTTCTTCTACCAGTTTAACATCATATCAATAGTTTTGTTTTAACAATTGACATTGTCAATCTGCAGGTCATCAATGAAACGGTTAGATTGGCAAACATTGTTCCAGTAATCTTCAGAAAAGTGCTCACAGATATCCAGTTTAAAGGTATGTAATAACAATTACGGAAACAGTTCCAGACCACTGCAAAGCGAGTCTTGATTATGCAAGGAACATGTAATTGGAAGTATAAGACAGATTGGTGCTAATGCAGGATATGCCATTCCAGCTGGTTGGGCAATTATGGTCTGTCCTCCTGCAGTACACTTAGACCGAGCAAAATATGAAGATCCACTTACCTTCAATCCATGGAGATGGGAGGTAGATGTTGCTGAAAACTTTCTGTTTTAAATCTCCAGCAAACATTTCAATACTAAAATGAGTAACCAAAATGTTTTTAATCTTTGATTAAAAAACTCAATTTTTACTAATATAACGGTGGCAAACAGGGACGGGAAATAACTGGTGCATCAAAACATTTTATGGCTTTTGGAGGAGGCATGAGATTTTGCGTTGGAACAGAATTTACAAAGGTGCAAATGGCTGTATTTCTTCATTGCTTGGTCACAAAGTACAGGTAATAAAATACTGCAAAGATGATGTGTGTCATAAAGAGAAGACAGTGTAACCTTTCTTATTGTTCGTTTCAGTTGGCAAGTAATTGGAGGAGGAAATACAGTCCGAACTCCTGGTTTACAATTTCCTAATGGTTACCATGTTCAGTTCATGGAGAAAGAAACAGGATTTAAAAAGTACTGAGAAATTCCAGCTTGGCCTCTTACCACCCAGAATTGCTATATACAAGCTGCAAGAACGATGGCGGTTAACACAGCATTTGAAGTGTATAGGCATCAGAAACAAGGATAGCATTCATTCCCCAAGCAGAGACCAAGCCGCAGTTTTGAGAAGGATCGCGCCAAAATTTTTCACCTTTTTTTTTTTTTTTTTTTTTTTTTTTTTTTAAATTGTTCATCAAGTTAAATGCAGTAAAAAAAAAAAAAATAAAAGGAAAAAGAACGTTTCATGGCATCTGCAAATCTAAATACACACGCTTAGCACAGTTGAGAATTTACTTTGTAATCAGTATAGATCAAATTTTTTTCAGTCATATCTTTTTTCTCAAAAAAAAAAAAAAAAAAAGAAAAAGAAGTTTCATGGCATCTGCAAATCTAAATACACACGCTTGGCACAGTGAGAATTTACTTGTAACAGTTAGATCAAATTTTTCAGTCATATCTTTTCTCGTTACATCAAAGAACATCAAACATTCTCTTTCTTCTCCTCATTTGTACCAACTCTACCTCCTACCTTCTCTGCTCATTTACTCTGCACTTGGCAATTTCATCTTGATTCGTCACGATGGGTCATCTAAATGGTCCTCGTGTGGTCTTTTGCCTTTCTATGTCTGTGGTGGCCAATATTGTTCCTCTCTATTCCATCCAAGTTGACTTGCTGCTTAATGCTTGATTTCCTACCACTCCTGTGCTTACTTTTGTCCTTATGAACATGGTGAAGATAATAATAGTAATCAGTATCTCTTCCTGAATGGTTATGCCTATGCTCCTGAGGAGTTCTTGTTTGCCTATATTGAGCACCGTGCTTGTGGTGCCTTCCACCCAACTCATGATGTTTATCATCATGAATGTTATGATGGTGGTGGTGGTGGTGGATATCAATATTATGTCTTGAAATATGCCTACTTTGCTGTTTATCAGACCAAACATGAACTTCCCACCAGTCATAAAGAGGATCAAAGAGTCCTTTCTGATGTAAAAGCCATAGTAGCACCAGAACTGTCACTCAAAGTGCATGGTATCAAATGTTTTTTATCACCAAGATAATCAAATCATGTAATTACTTTGAATTGAAAGAAAATTTTGTTTAAAGAAAAGGCTCTACCTGTTGGGAAAATGGCCAAAAGTAGACCAAACATTACCATCCAACTCATACATATATATTGTATGTGGCAACTGAAATCGAAGAAACTTATGCATTTCCTTCTGCTTGCAAAAGAACCACATGTATATGATTATTGAACAGTTGAAATAAGTTTATATTTATGTCTTGCCAAAAGGACGAACCTGCAAGTTTTTCCAGTGATGAAGTCGACTAAACCTTCCCACAATTTTTTCCAAATGTTTTCAATAGATTCTAAGAAACCATTGATATCAGTCTTTGGAGGTTCAAAGGGAGCAACCTGCACAAATGCTTAAAATTAAGTATTCTAGTTGCAAAATAGTATTATGAAGATTCAACTACAAGTACTGCTGTTGCTGCTTTTTATGCATTGTAAAGAAAGTGTATATGAGTTCTCTTTAGATATATTTTCACAATTTGGTGAAATTTCACAGCCACTGACTAAATGAATGTAATTGGATCCCTGATAAAAGGATTTTAGGGTAGTGAAAAGGATAGGATGACTTGGGGCGAAGAAATGCAGAATATTTAGTAGAGGATTATGCCTTTCTAAACACGTAATGCAGAATGATTTAGAAAAGCATTATGCCTTTCTAAACACGTAACCAGTAATCTAAGTAGAATGGAGAAAAGAACAAAGTCCATAGAGACATGCAGCTAGAATGAGATTAAAACTTAGTTGAGCTTGTCAAGTTATTATGATTGTTTTGAGATCCTTTTATTAAGAAGATAAAGACGCAAGATAAGTAACACCTCGGTGACTACCCCAAACCTGTGATCCATTGTTAATAATGGTCATTGTAGTAGAAAATTGGCATTCAGCTCTATCAACTTCATTAAAATTAGAGTCCTTCAATATAGCTGGCAGTAAAGCACGATGATTGAGATTTAAAGGTCTTTCACCTATCTTTTACAAGAATAGCAAGAATTTTAATAAAGGCCTAAAGTAACATTACCTGAACATACATACTTTGCAGCTTGATCAGTGGTTGGATAGAGTTTAAAAGACCTTATTGCATTTTCATTTGGCTTCATAATAAAGAACTGTTCCTGCAACCATTAAGCATTTGTTTTGAGAAGTTGATCATTGCACCAGCAGAAAAAAGAATACATACAATAGGCAAAAAGGGTGTCCCATTGCACAAACTACTGTGGGATTTGGGCAGGGTCAGATAAACATTCAGGGAAAAAAGCTTTTACCTCCATGAGGGAGACTCCACTTGAGCAGTCAAACTGCAAGATGGAGAAATTCATACATTTATATTCTAAACAAAGTTTTAAAGATAATTAATCAAAATTGTAATGCAATCATGATCACATTATAACCCTGGATATCCATGTTTTGGATTCCTCATGCCCTAGCCTAATCATATTTTTAAGCATTCAGCAACAGAAGGAATGTAGAAGACCAAGTTCAGAATACCGTTAAACTGTATGATGCTTCCACTTCCCCAATGTTCTTTGTTGTAATTGTAGCAACTCCAAATTGAGTAAGAGCTTCAAATGTTGGGACAGTTACATTTAAGATTTTCCCAGGACTCCTAAGAAGGAATAGAAACCATCACAAATATTCTCTTTTTAGAAATAGAGTATGTAATGAACTATATATGTACATACTTATATATATATACAAACTCCAAATTGAGTAAGAGCCTTCAATATGTTTGGGACAGTTACATTTAAGATTTTCCCAGGACTCCTAAGACAGGAATAGAAAAAACACTCAACAAAAATATTCTCTTTTTAAGAAATAGAGTATGTAATGAACTATATATGTACATACTCTATTATAGATTATATATAATATAGTATATATAAATATATACCAAATCAATATTATTTCTAAAATAACATATTACAGATAAGAAAATAGATTCAATTTATATATATATATACCAAATCAATATATTTTCTAAATACATATACAAGATAAGAAAATAGATAATTAGTCTGTATATATTTTATAAGAAAGTAGATCAATATGAGAAATGTATATAAGCATGCACAGTGACCGTGCATCTTCATATTACAAACAAGGAGATGGTCTTGGCTTTGTCTCACGGCACAAAGAAAAAAAAAATATTGAAGCTTAATCAGAGACAAGTACGGTTAATTCACTCTTTCTTCTTGAAATATATAGTCCAAACGTGGACACCAAATGTCCCCTCAACCCAACAAGGTTCAGCATTTGGGCATACTCCTAATCTGGATTGTGCTTTTTCCAGATAAACATGTCAAGAGGTTGCAAATATTAAAAGTGGCAAACTCAGCTAGCTATAACATGTTTTGTAGTATCAGTATCAATGAAGTATGAATTTTAACCTTTGGTAGACATATTCTATGTCATCGGCACTAAGTTCTATCAAAAGATTTGTGTTAAGAACTTCAGTGATTCCTAGGGAGAATGAATAAGTCCCTGCATTCTACATTCAAATGCAGTAGTTAATAAAACTCAAAAAATGGAATTTTATTAAAGATCAAATGCACAATTGCTGAACCATAACTGGGTGCTGGTTTATCCTTTCAAACCTTCCTTCCACACCATATAGTGGTAATTGCTTCCTATCAATTCGGTTCTGATCAGCCTGCATGCTCAAGACAAGTCTCTTCTCAGTGCAATTCAAACATAAGAAAGCTACATATATTACAGAAAGAGTGAATATAAGAGGTTATATGAAGCATACAAATTACTGAGACAACTAGTCAGCATAACATACTTACATCTCGGTAATTCCATAACTGATTATGCAAACAACTCCAAAATGGTGAAGAACAGAAGTTTGGCTGCTTATGGAAAGCCTCATAGTTAACACCAATTTTGTTGCATTCGCTACCATCTAAAGTAAATCTGACTCTCTCAAGCAGCATCCACATTGAAAAGTTCCTCCCCAGATCTTTTGGTTGACCAGGCTCACCCTTCCAACATAATATTAACTCTCAGCAACATCATATTATTCAACAGGCAATCTGCAAAAATAAGCTAGATGGCAAACCAATGTCCAGCAACCAATTTTTCCCCCATTCCCGATCAGTACCAAAAGCAATGTGCTATAGCAAGCTTAGTATCAAACTAAACTTTTCCAAGAGATGTAATGAAAAAAAAGACGCCCTATTAATTTGGTTAGAACTTTCGCTTCTTTCCCCATAAGGCAGTACAAATTAAGTTTAACTTTAACAATACAAGTGATAGAAGTGTACCTGCCTTGGGATCACAAGGTAGAAGTCTTCAAATGCAGGAAGACTTGAGTAGCCAACAAAATCTCCAACAAGATTTACCCTTAAAAAATTATCCTTGGAAGTTGCTGTTTTGTTTTCAGGCCCAACTATCACTTCCTGAAAGCAAAAGCAAAAGGTCAGTAAAGAAAAGGTCAGTAAAATCTTCCATTAGTGAATCTATCGTGGCATTTTTAGTCCAATCCAATAAAACAAAACTAGGCATTATCCAAATCAATTATGAATTCACAATTCCATTCAGGTAGCACCTAGTAAGAGTTTAATGGCAGAATAGAACTTATTATCAGAAAATGAAGTAAAGAAGTGCTGTTGTTTGCCATACTATAGGATACACAACCAAACAGAATATGGATGGATATAATTATGTCCATGGCAAGTCATTGGAAGAAAAACAAGCACAAATCTGCTATTATAGGCTACCTTATAGCAGACAGAACCTAAGTAGAGTGCACCAACTTGAAACATAAAACCTTAGGCATATATGAAGGTACTACATCTTGTGAAACAACATACCGACATTAGAGATCTCGTCTTCACCAGTATTCGAATATTAAATCCGATTGATCGCTGTCCAATACCAAAAACATGAAACCTAGGTGAACAATAACTATTAATTTTGGCAATCGTTAGAATAATCGAAGACTAGGAAAAATTAAAATTAAGTCGCATCAACTGAGTTTAAAACAATACAATTTGGATCAGATATATGGAATTCTTTTACTCCATTTCTACCCAGTTTAGAACTAAATTCAGAAAGATCTAGAGCTCCTAATTGTTTTCACTACCTTCCTCCACATTATCCTTGGTCCACCGCTCCTCTCATTAGACCTGCAACTACAACATAATCAACCTTCCAGACATTGCATTTGCTGGTCTATATAATCTGAAACTTTGTGACGTCTTATAACCAGCATTTAACCAGCAAGCACAAAATCATTACCAGGTAAACCAGGAGTTAACCAGCAAGCACAAAATCATTATCAGATAAACCAGCATTTGTAATTTGATCTGTTAAATTTTCGACTTAAGTTGTAAAACTTTCATTAAGTAGACAGAGATTTGCTGGTAAAGCAGAGTTAAAAGAAAAAGCTCTAGCATAAAGGTCATACCAGTCACCAGGAAATCTGAGACAGTGCGCAGTATTTGCCTTTCCTTTCATCATTTTATCAACTGATAAAGGAAAAAAATCAATCATAACACAACGGTAATTTTGAAACTGCTGGCCATTGTTAAAATCACTTACAAAAGTTTCCACATGATGAAGGTACTCGCCGTTGAGGACCACAAGGACAACAGATTGGCTAAGCAGAAAAAAAAAAAAAAGAATGAGACAGAAACAGAAGACATAGTACAAACCAGAAAGGACCAAACACAATAGAGTACAAGAAGCATAACCAATAAACATGATAAAAAATAAATTATGTATAAACTATTTCATAAGAAACGTTCAATAGCTACCTTTAAGTAAACTATTAGTTAGATAGTTATACATACTCTGGTACATGAGTATACAGGTGCGAGTACTACACAAAAGCAAATGAATACATACATATGTATGCAAAATGGGATCCAAAAGAGATTGATAAGTCAAAAATGCCACCTCAGTATACTCAATTATGCGACCATTTTTGTCCTGCAACCTACAAAAATAGCTATAATGAGACAGGAGTTCAGATACATACAAAATAATGAAATATAAATCTTTCAACTGCTAAATGCTAATATTTTTGTCTGACCCTGCAAAGTCACTCTGAACTATAAACTTGATCTCTAGTTAAGAATAATCTGAGAAGTTAAAATCCACAAAAGCATTTCTAAAAGTTATTCATTATGATCACAAACTTTAAGACAACAATAAAGTACTTGCCTCTGGCATGTCTGAACAACACTCCCACCAGCATTAGGCTCACATTTGCGCGTCTTCACAAATAATTCTTGAGGTTTATAAGCAACATCCTAAAATTCATTTCACAATCAACATGATAAGTCAATCCAGGATACACAAGAAATAGTGACCTGATTCAACCAAATCGTTATAGGCAGTCAGACAATTTGTGCTGAAGATGCAAATGTTGTGTTGCTATATCAATTTTAACTTCTCACTACAATCGTTTCACAGTACAAAAATATGACATGACAACTTTCCAAGAAGTTATAAAGTTGAAACGATAAAAAATCTCAATCTTAGGTAACGAAGATAGTGCCGTACGCGTAAATACGTAAGCTCATACAGGGCATACACAGCGGACTTATTGATGGTTATCACCGGTGGTACTCGCAGTGTTCGCATGTTGTTGGTCGAATTCTCCTCCACCTCCACGATCTCTGCCACAATCGACGCCTCTTCTCCACTCTACACAGGAAACGACAATTAACTTAGGGGAAAAAATAAAAAATAAAAAACAAAGAGAGAACAATCAACAGACGAACGACCTCCTAATTTAATATCCACCTTCCACGTTTCCATGACAAAACAATTTTACTACTCCGAATTAAAAGAAAAAAGTCAAAAATAAATTCCAAAAACTTCCTTGAAGAGTAACTATCGTCATTACATCTCTAGTTAGGTAGAAAGAAATTAGACAAACAATACCACCATAAAACGGTAAGCAAATGAGCGAAGTAAAACTTACTGAACCACTGGGAACGGCCATGTTCAAGACGATTTTGGTCGTGCAATCGAGAGTATCAGACTCGGAGCCTTTCTCGCACCTTTCAAGCTTCGATTTCGATAGAATCTCCACTCCAACAACACTTCCCGCACTTAAACAACTAACCATCCAAAATAATATTAACACTTTAATCTGCCACCCCATTTTTTTTTCCTCTGGTGAAATTTTTTTGGTTCTGAATTCTAATCGAGCCCAAAATTCCCCCGTTATTTTTGTTTTGAGCATTGTATGCGACAGGAATTTATTAGCGATTTTGACGGGTTTATTTCAGTTTTGAAAAATACAAAAAAACTGCCAATTAACGGTTACCTTCTTCAGATAAATATCTTCCTCTGAAGTCTCAACGTTGACAGCGATGAAGTGTTCAATTAAATGAAATTGATATTGGAACTTGTAACGACGACGTTTTAGGTGCATGTGAGTTTTGGGCTTGTGTGCAGCCCCATGTTCGTCACTCATTCTTAACCTTACCCGGTAATAAATCAGGTCCATTATATTATTTATTTATTTATTATTTTTTGGATGGGTTGCCCATAACTTGCTTGGTCCAAGTACTTTGATCAAATAGTCAACCTTAAATTACATTTTTTTTTCCTATTAATTATTAACTTGAATTAATATTTTGAGGTACCTACCACAATAAAAAAAGTACATAAATAATAATAATATCTATACCCAAACCAATCAATTTTATTATCTTTTGGATACATTTTTGTTTACTTTTTTCGAAAATTGAATACTTCATTTTGATTTATCATTACATCACTCTGCAATTTACATTAATTACTTGATTTTGATATGTATATTTAAATCGGATAATTCGACATAGTTTATTATTATTATTTTGGTATGAAAAATTTTTAATCTTTCATCCATAAATCCAATGAAGATATCTATATATTAAGCCAATTAATTTGACTTGAGTTTAAATTTATTATTTTCAACTTCTAAAATAATTTTTAATACCGTTAAGTCAAGAAATTTTTAAATAGACTCAATCTATCATGTTAGTTATAGATCCGGTCAATGAAGGCCCACCTAATGAAATAAAGCCAATCAAGAGTTTTCTTTTTAACAGCGTGAAAAATTAACAAAAATGAGCTAAAAAAAAGTAAAATGATGATTTTACTTTATTTCAGTGAGTGGGTGACTACTACGTAGTAGACTGAGTCAACCTAAAAATTTCTCTGTCCAAGTCAAACCTAACAAGTGAAGTGGTGTAAATGTAATGGGGTTCTGTTCTGTGGGAATTGAAGTGGTGTTCACAGTTGGCGTCATTATAAGTTATGAATGGGTTTATGGATCCCTCTTGAGATAGGATTTGGGAAAATCAAATTCATAACTCAAAATCCATATATGATGTAATATGGGTCCATTGTTACTGCATGCGTGATTTTGATTAACATATTTAAAAAAAGAGTTATTAAAATATAAATCTTTAATATGTCTGTGAGGTAAGTGTTGAATGATTTAATTTTTTTTCTTTAAATATTGAGAGAGGAGAAATTCGGACTTGGATCTATTGCTAAATCGTATATGCACTTACTACTGGATTATACCTTGTTGTGCATGATTTAATTGTTAATCTATCTTGATTATAATAATGATCGTTCATAATTTTGTGAATTAATTAATAAAATAGGTGTTGTTATTGATAATTTTAATGAATCTTTTTGCTGCACTAATAAATTGGAGAAATTTTCAGATAGACTCAATCACCTCATTATAGAAACATCCAATAAAATAAAACCACATCAACGACTTATTCTTTTTTTTCTTGTCATACATCAGTAACTTCTAAATCAATATAACTATGTTTTCATTTTTTCTATCTCTGACCAAATAAAAAATATGAACTGACGTAATAGATTGAGTGTACCTGAAAATTTCCCGACAAAACAAATTGGATCTCTTTAATAAAATTCCAAAGTACTAATTACAAGCATATAGCAAAGTGGTGGTGGACATAAAAGGAACCACGAAAAGAATTGTACTGTCAACTAGAGAAGATAATATCTCTTGATTTTGACTAAGGCTATATTTACAAGTTGCAAAATGATTGAATATATAGTTGAGTATAAGCAACCTAATCCTATCCCAATTTGGTTATTCAATACACAAGGCCGCAACAACCGGCAAAGCTTATCAATCCATTCAAATCATAGGCCATTCTAAAATCCAAGCCACACAAAATAACTCCATTTCATGAAGTTAAAGAAAGATTATTGCATATGTAAAATTAAAATAACTCTTATTATTATTTTTAATATATTTTATACATGCATTGTTTTTTTGCCAATGGTGAAATGATTCAAATAAGGATGTTGCTGTTTACAGCAGAAAAACTATTCTACGGATAACGATGGTAAAAAAAAATTGAATTTTTTAAATTTGATATTCACTTTTATATAGTACTAAAAATATTAACATCACATGGCAGCAGAGCAGAGCAGAGCACTGACTGCCATGAGAACAGGAATAATTATGGCCTAACCAATAGCTAGACCTGGCTTTCTTTCTCCTATTGGCTTATCAGCATTCCCAATGTTACACCTGTCCACGCTTGATAGCTTCCTCTCGCCGGCTAAATGATACGTGGCAAACACCCTTTAGTCTGAAGATTGCAATATGCGAAAAACAATAAACAAAACCAATATTACAGCGACCACCTTCATTACAAACTATTCTCTTACCTAAAGAGCGCATCACGCCACAATTTTATACGTGCGTCTCCGGTAAGAGAAATGGAGGCAGACGAGTCAGGGCAGAGTCTTTATAGAGTCTTGGCAGATCGTTGTCTGAGTCTGGAGGCAAGTTATTCCAAGCTGAAGGAGGAACTGAGTGAACTTGTAGAGGAGAAGAATCAGAAGAAAACGAAGGAAGAAAATAGTAATAGTGAGGTGATTTTGACGCCAGATTCTGATGAGGTGACGTCAGATTCTGACTTGGTATCTGTTCCCGGGTTCTTCACGGCAGGGAGTCCTTATAAAAAGGTGTTGGAGTCAATTGGACATGCTGTTCATGTGTGTAGTGCTACTTCTGGAGAGATCATGTACTGGTATGTTAATGTGTATATATATGTGTGTGTGTGTGTGTGTGTGTGTGTGTGTGTATCTATAGTTCTTATCTGATTGATTATTTTCTTTCATTTTGGTTTATTAATTTGTCAAGCTTGATTTATTGTAGTCTGACTTTGGTATTGAAATTTTCTTTTCTTTTTGCAGTTAAAAAACCAATGAAATAAACTAGAATTTCTATAAATGAGAATTGAACTGAAACGAAATGAAGTATTATTTGGAATTAACATTAATACTATTGGAACTTATAATCTCGTTTTTTCCCTCTCATTTATATATATGATCATGAAGTATTTTACGTTCGTGATTGGTGATAAAGAAAATGCCAAATATTTTGCTCTCTATCATGCAAAATTTTATGTATTCTACGATGTGATTGAATTCCAATTTCATTTGTAACAATTCACATGCAAATTTGACACGTTAAGGAGTACAAAAGTTAATGATTGGATCAAAAAAAGTTGATTTTCTTTTTCGGTTTTCTCACGAGTATCTCCATATCTTTTTTATGCGTGTGAGGCTAATCAATTAATTTTATTCTCCTGAAAAAAGAAACACTTGAAACATTCTTTTCTTTCAAGTGACTAGTGAGTCCTCCAATGGAGATAGATTGGCCTTAAAAGCTTTTCTAGATTTTTGGCAGCTGTGACTTCCTTATTATACGGAAGCTGCCACTGCCAGTAAGAATTTCAATGCTTGAAATTCGTTTAGCATTTCAAGTCTTCCAACTTGCCCAGCTTTCGGTGCCATTGCCTAAAATAATTAATGCATAAATGTATCTGACAAATGATCTGAATCGTAGTTTAGGTATAGCAATTTTCCTGTGCAATTTTGGAATGTGTTTGAGGAAATGCCACACTGGAGGTTTGTTGAAGTATTTGTATTCTTTTTCTTCATGACAACCATTGGATAATTTCAATTAAATGTGCATGACCAGAAACTTTGGAATCAATCACTGTCAGTTTGATGAGCATGACACATTGCTAATTTCTTAGCGTATAATGTATACTGTGTTGGTAGAAGATAGCAATGATAGTTGACGGGCCCACACCACCTGATTATTAATTATCTTATATTATTCCTTTAGTTTTGTGATTTACATTTTTCTTAACAGGAATGGTTCTGCTGAAAATCTTTATGGATGGAAGGATTATGAAGTACTAGGACAAAGTGTGTTTGAAGTCCTTGTAGCTGAAGAATACTATGCACCTCTTCATAAAATTGTAGAAAGATTGAATTTTGGACAATCATGGTTGGGTCAGTTTCCTTTCAAGAAGAAGTCTGGAGAAATTTTTATGGCAATGGTAACAAAAAGCCCATTTTATGAGGATGGAAGGCTTGCTGGTATTATCACTGTTTCAAGTGATGCAGCAATAGTTAATAATGATAATTCAGAAAACCTGAGAACTCATCAAGATCGTGCTAGAGTACCAAAGATAAACTTGAAAAAGATTCAATGGCATCAACGGCCACCAATTGCCCCGGTGCCTCAGATTGCATCGTCAGTTTCCAATCTGGTGCTTATGTATTATATTGTTACAGAACTTCTTTATCTTTTCATTTCCGGATTTAATTCCATACTATGAGGGTTTATGCACTTGCACTGTTTAATGAATTAGGCCTCAAGACTACTGTGGAAACATGGCGATGATACATTTGATGGACATGAGAATTCCAGGTACAAAGAACATGAAGCTAGAAAAGCTAAGGAGGTCAAGTCAGCATCTCCTGGTGCACTAGTGAGTCTCATTTCTCTTTAAGTTATGGCTCAGTCCTGCCTTAGAAATGTGTTAAAAGCAAGTATCTAAGGTGACACTCCTATTATCCACATAGGCAAAATTATGTTATAATTTCCACATTAGGGATAGCACATCTGAAAGGAGCATGCCTCTAGACTGCAAGCTTAAGCTTTACAAAATCTGTATTGACTTACTAGTTTCTTGAATGTTGACACAATTAATCTACCACATGCCTGTATATGATTGAGTTCTCAAGCAGTGTAATCATATGACAATTCTGAGGTAAGTGACAATGGCAATGGGTTAATTTATAACATTGAGTCTTAAATTTCTAGATGTTTTCTAGTTCTAGCATACCACATATTCACATATTGAAGATTGATTTTGAGCCTAAAAACTATATACAGTATGTTGGTTGACAGCTAAAATTTATGAAGATTTATTGAGTTTAATGAATTTCCCCCCGTCCTGGAAAGAGGAATCGAAATGGCTATGCTATTGGATTAGCTATTTTCTTATTTAAATTTATAAGCTTTCTCAGTATGCATCAGCATATTTCTGAACTATTTGGTTGAAATGATTAAGGCAGCTAAGGTGTTGGCAAAGCTGCATATTGGAGGAATTGGAACCACTGGTAAAGAAGATGATGTCAGAAGTCAACAAAATGACCTAATTGACGCTGCTGTTAGAAATGAAGCAGCAATTGGTACTAGTAAATTTAGCGGGTCAGAACTATCAAATTCTTACCACTGCAACGTTGATACTGAGTGCAAGGGAGAAATTCCACACAAAAGAAATTCGTCATGTGCAGATTCAAATGTAAATGCAAGCAGAAGCCCTGAAGCTGCTGAAGAGAGTTCTCAAGCCTCTTTAATGGAGTGTAATGAATGTTTTGGGCAAGCTAAACCAGGAAATCCATTGCTGAGCTTAGGTTGCCGAAAAGATGTGAATGAGTTGGATCCTGAAGGACAAATCTCAGAAGCCTCAGAAGATGAAGTGCAAAAACAACCAGATGGTAGAAGGTCTTCAAGTGTAGGGGAGAGCTCTGGCAGCCTTGGAAGTTCACCAAGCGGAGGGGAGAAAGAGTCAAATTCTATGGTAAAATGTGAGATTCACTGGGAAGACCTACAGCTAGGGGAGGAGGTTGGGCAAGGTAACTTCAACTAAGATTTCCATTCTAGCTGTAACTTCCTCATCCGTACAATATAACAATGTGCACTAAATATTTTTGAACCTTCTGTAACTTTGTTGCACACATTATGCTTAAACATGCCCATATGTTTAAGATGAGTACATGTGAAGTAATTTTAGCATTTCTAGATGAGATGGCACCCTAGCAGATTCTGAATACATAACTTCTAGACTAGAATGCATAAGATGATGATGGTCTCAACAAATTTGGTTTTTCACAGAAACATTTTTTCTTAATATGCAAAAGTGAGTTTTGCCTATTTTGTTAGAAGTTTTCAGAAGTTTGCTTGTGCCATATAATATTGTCTGATACTATCTTGAGATAGAAATACAATTACCATCTAACAAAAAGATAAATGGAATTTTTTTGGAAGGGGGGAGATGGTATTCTTTCTAATTTTTCTCTTCCTTTTCTTTTAACTTACAGGTTCATACGCTGTTGTCTACCGTGGAATCTGGAATGGATCAGTAAATTGCTAACTTGAAATAAAGTTCTTGTTCCGAGCTTGAATAAAGTTTAACCTGAATTTGTTTGTGTTCGTTAGGATGTTGCTGTTAAGCTTTATCTTGGGAATCAATACAAAGAAGAAACTTTACAAGACTACAAAAAAGAGGTGCATGAGATTCAGCTTTTATTTGTCTGTAATAATTGTTCGTGGAGGCTGTACCTGACTGCAGGATCTCATTTTTATAGATTGATATAATGAAGAGACTTAGACATCCAAACGTGTTGCTATTCATGGGAGCAGTATATTCACCGGAAAGACTTGCCATTGTCACTGAATTCCTGGCCAGGTAATGTTAGGGTAAGCATCTGATGATCAATAGTAGTATTAAAATTCACCTAGAATAGCCCAGTTGCAAGCGTTGTTCAATTGTGTTGCATCTGCTTCTCGGTACATGTTTCTTTGCATGCTTAATGCTGCTTGCTCTTGTAGGCATATATGTATGCATTTTGAGGAGCAAATTTATCTTACATTGATTCCATTCTCATGCTAGGGGGAGTCTTTTCAAAACATTACACAAGAACAATCAGACATTGGACATTAGACGGCGTCTGAGGATGGCACTTGATGTTGTATGTTATCTGTTTTTCCCTCACTATTGTTCTGATGAAGTGTTATTGTTTTGTTTTCTAAGTGTGATAGTGATATCTGAGTTTGTGAAGTCTCAAAGTCACACTTTATACTTCATTGCAGGCTAGAGGAATGAATTATTTGCATCACAGAAATCCACCAATAGTGCATAGAGACTTAAAATCTTCCAATCTTCTTGTTGATAAAAACTGGACTGTCAAGGTAACATGAGAACTCCTCCAAATTATTCAAGCAGATTTATGATTTAGCAGTAACTTACAAGGTGATCTGATGTCTCCGTCAGGTTGGCGACTTTGGTCTGTCAAGGTGGAAGAATGCAACCTTTATATCTGCAAAATCTGGAAGAGGAACTGTAATTACCTTTTCTGCCCTATCCCTTCTCCATAAATGAGAAAATTTTCTGCCCTATCCCTTCTCGATGAATGAGAAAATTTTCAATTTCATATTTAAACGTTGTAAGGAATTACCTGTCATTACTAAACTCCTCTTTTAACTCCTTTATTTTTCTTCATGCAGCCTCAATGGATGGCTCCTGAAATCCTCCGCAACGAACCTTCAGATGAGAAGTAATTGCAGTAAACTAAACTCTGTTGCCCTATATACTATTCACTTAAAGCACAGTCTTCTCTAATGAGTAGTTTGCTTCAATGGACAGTCTGACTGCTCCATGAATACAATTGTGGAGAAAACAATCTGCATATGCATACTAACCTGGTTAAATTCTTCATCCTTAGCTACTATTGTAAATTGTTGAACTACAGCGTCTGTGGTCTCTAGGTCTAGAATTAACACAAGCTATAAGGTTCTTAAACTTCATTGTAAATAATTTGAGTAGCAGTTCAAGCACAAATCATTATATCTAATTCGATATCTCTATTGTTCAAAGTAAAGAAAGTTCAATTTTTTTTTTTTTTTTTTTTTTTTAGTAATTTTTTTTTTTTTTTTTTTTTTCTGTTGCTCATTATATTTTCACCAATTCTGTTGTGTAACTATAACATTTCATGCATGTAATAGGTCTGATGTATTCAGCTTTGGCGTCATTCTATGGGAACTTATGACAGTATCCATTCCATGGATCAATCTAAATTCCATACAGGTCTATCTTCCTTAACATATATATTCCTCGCATATATGCACACACATATGTGGGTAGTCTAATTTCCCTCTTCAATATCTTTCAGATTTTCACTAAGTCACATGTCTTCCATTTAACAGGTAGTTGGAGTTGTAGGGTTTATGGACAGAAGATTAGAGTTACCTGAAGGTCTTGATCCGCAAGTAACTTCCATTATTCGTGATTGTTGGCGAAGGTACTTCTATTTTACACTAATCCCACCTTTGTTAAATTTTTTGATATGGGAAGCTTGATAATTGATTGAAAACTGATGTTTAATACGATTAAAACGAGCAGTGATCCTGAACAACGTCCATCATTCGAAGAGATAATTCATCGCATGCCAAGTATAGTCCAAAGAATTGCTACATCTCAAGTTCAGAGAACTTTATAGACTTAGATTTAGCAGTCTTTCTTAGATTTAGCAGAGGACCAAAAAATACATGGCCAGAATCAAGATGGTTAGACACAGATTATTGAAACGTAACTTCAGAAACTAGTGAAATTGTTCCTTAAAGTTTCAATTTGAGATAAAAGGGAATGAAATTAAATGCTAACAAGAAGTAAGCCAATTCCCATATTCCCATGTAAATGGAATTTACAATTGGGAATTTGAGATGTGTGGATATACCCATTTCATGTAAGAGAAATTGAAGTATAAAATGGTTTGTCTTTTGTATGATTAGAGTGATCCAAAACATTATGATTCTCTAATCTCTATCTGTTATTGTCGCAACTTGCATAATTTGTGGGTAAATGACTAATTAAAGCATAAGACACCATTGTCTTATCAAATAAAGGAAAATAGCCGTTGACACTTGACAACGTCACGGAATGGCTTGTCGAGAGCGAAGTTAGAAATGTTTTTAATGCCGTTTGTTCACATTCAATTATTAAAGAGTAAATCATACTTTATGACAAGCTTTTCATATAAAAGCCTACAGATAGCTACCCCATTATCTTTATACCAAGCCATTAAAAAGGAGAAGGGCTTTTCTTCTTATTGGAAATAAATCATAGTAATTTTATTTGCACGTGAGTTGTGTGTGTGCATTCCCAGTTTCCTACACATTCAACCTAATTTTGACTCTGCATCTGCGTTTATAAACCGCAGATTATTTTGACCAATGTGTCAACTTTCCACACCCGTGACCCTCGCTAAATTAAAGAAATAAAACCTACTTTTATATCATTATTCTCATTTTTTCTTCCTTTTAATTAAAACCAAAAGCATGGAATTAAGAAAGAACATGGGTTGTATTTTGACCAGGTCTCTCGCTTTGACTCTCTCATCATCAAGTAGGCCTCCATTACACGTGTCATAATCATAATGGTATTCATTAGACATGTTACAAACAGCCTGCCCTTCCTTCCCGTGACGGTGATATTCAAAAGAAACCAAAAAAAGTAGTAGTAGTAGTAGTAGTTTTGCCTGTCAATGTCGGCAGAGTTGGGTCCCGACATTTATGTGTGTAGATTTCGGTAGCAGATATATTCTCTGATGACGTGCAAATGTTTGTTGTTTGTTTCTCTACCGTCCGATTTGAATAATCCAAATTCCAAGACATGAGCTTCTCACTCCATCTCTGTTCTCACTGGAAAATACTAGCAAGATTCTAACGAGTTGACAAAACACGGCAGGCTTCGGAAACGTATGATGGAAATCATGGAGTGGAAGATCCATAGATACGTTTTCAGAAAAAAACTGAGTTCCAAAATCTTTTTCACTGCTTTCTTTCTGCTTCTTAAGAGCTAAAGCGCTTGTTTTTTAACCCGTGAGGCCTCGAACAATCATATCATTTTCGCCACTTTAATTGTTTCTTTGATTCAGGGTTATCGGCTGAAATAACACAGGGCTGCACGATCATCTTGGCTCGTTGAGTTAATAAAAATTATTATGATTGAAGAGAGACTCTTTTCATTTGAACGAGATTGAGGATGTGAGTTAATAAAAATTATTATGATTGAAGAGAGACTCTTTTCATTTGAACGAGATTGAGGATGTGAGTTAATAAAAATTATTATGATTGAAGAGAGACTCTTTTCATTTGAACGAGATTGAGGATGTGAGTTAATAAAAATTATTATGATTGAAGAGAGACTCTTTTCATTTGAACGAGATTGAGGATGTGAGTTAATAAAAATTATTATGATTGAAGAGAGACTCTTTTCATTTGAACGAGATTGAGGATGTGAGTTAATAAAAATTATTATGATTGAAGAGAGACTCTTTTCATTTGAACGAGATTGAGGATGTGAGTTAATAAAAATTATTATGATTGAAGAGAGACTCTTTTCATTTGAACGAGATTGAGGATGTGAGTTAATAAAAATTATTATGATTGAAGAGAGACTCTTTTCATTTGAACGAGATTGAGGATGTGAAAAAAAAAAATTATCATATTAATTTTTTGAAAAATGTAGTAGGAAAATTATTATATAAATCAACCACCAAATGCAATAATCAACGATTGTGCAAAAATCTTTTCATATCTGTGGGATTAAACATTGGTTGGATCAGCAGCCGCGCATCATTTTCAAGGAAATCTTGTTCCCCTTATCTATTCGATCAATCAATGTGGTGACCCACTTGTTATTGACTCGTAAATAGGTCGGATCGTACATGGTGGCGTCACCAGTGGGCCCAAAGTGTACAAATGCCAGGTAAATTGAACTATTTTGACTTATGTTAATTAGGAGGGGCACAAGAGTCATTTTTACGATACAGAACTACAGTGAAAAGGGCAAAATGGTAAACAGAATGGAATGGACCAGAGTCTGGAGAGACCAGGGTCATTTCATTTCTCTTCGACTGTTACGTGCATAGGGAGAGCCGCATGTGGACAGGCGGTTCAGCTTCCACTTCTATGTCACGTACTCTCGTTTTTGGTTTTATTTGTCGTTTGATCGTTTCCGTTTGCTAAATTTGTTACACGCGCTTTTAAGCGTAAATTGTAGTGTTTTTAGTTTTCTTAAAAACAAAATAAATGGTTCTTAGAGAATTTCCCTCAATCAAAATCAACATTAACTAAACTAATTTTTTTTTCTAAATTGTTCTAAAAATTGACAATTGTTATTATTTTCAGTTTCGATATTTATAAGATATATAAATCAGCATGTTGTCAAGAAAAATTCCATCATAAAAACGTCATGCTAAAAGGAGTTAATATGCATTAATTAAATAAAACTTGTAAAAGATGAAATTTATAAGATTTAATTATAATTCATTATTCCACGTTTAATATGAATAAAAATTTATTTCAAATTTTATCTCACTAGTCTTTTGGGTTTTGATAAAATGTAATTGAATTTATAAGCAAATACTAGATTAAGAAATTTATAGAATTTAATTTGATTTCTTCTTTAAAAAATTGATTAAAATTAATTAAGTTTACAAATAATGATTAGGAAAGTTACAAAAAATTTACAAAAAATGATTAAAAGTGCAAAACACGCGCTACTGAGCGATTGGAATAATATTCCACTCCATATATTACCCCGTTAATTTTTCACCTTCAAGGCTTCACACCCTCGATCGTATAACTTCCTTCTTCCTCTCTCTCACTGTACAAAGCTACACGTTCTCTTCTCCATTTCACTAACTCTCTCTCTTCTTCAAATGCATGCTATCCCAAAGCCCGCAAGCCCTCTACCTTTTCAGTATCGCTAACCATGGGCAGAGCCTCCAGGTGGTTCCGGGCAGTTATTGGCCTTAAAAGACCTGACCCGCCTCCATCACAACAACACCAGCAGCCCACATGTCGCTCCAAAGAGAAACGAAGATGGAGCTTTGTCAAATCGTACCGCGAGAAAGACCATCCACAGCAGCAGCAAATCAAAACCGGAGGTCTGAACGGTCAGGAGGATGCCACGACGGTTCATAGTTCGTCGGAGTACGAAGAGGATCCAAATAAGCACGCAATCGCAGTAGCGGCTGCCACGGCTGCAGTGGCGGAGGCTGCGGTGGCAGCTGCTCATGCAGCAGCGGAGGTTGTGAGGCTCACGAGTAGCGGAAGATGCGGTAACAACCCAGCAGTAACGTACGTTAGTGGGAGCCACGGATGGCGTGAGGATTTCGCTGCCGTTAAAATACAAGCGGCCTTTAGAGGCTACTTGGTTAGTTTACTCAAATTCTCTTATTCCTTTAGTTTTTTTATTGACCATGGAATTTGGTGTAATTTACGGGGATTAGCACTTATGCCGGTTGCCATGGTTGAAGCAATGGCACGTGTTTTGTCTTCTCCTTCGTCTTCTTGTTTAAAACGTCAAGAGTCACAGTTAATCACTGGTTTTTAACGATTCCTAATACTCAGTTCGATAATTAAAACCGAATTATCCAATCGAGGCCATATCATTTTCTATGCAAGAAAACGCCTAGAAATAAAAGCAAAAGAAATTGACATCTCGTTTCGTTTTTTCTTGCTACATTCAGTTCCTGCAAGATTCGGGGTGATTTCCTCGAATCTGTTTCTCTGCAACTGCTTATCAGTTGTTTATTTTCTACTTTATCCATGTGTAAAACGCTGTCATCTTTTCCCCATTTGTGTAGTCTCTGAGTTGTTCAATCTGTCATTTTGCTCAAAACGTCATGTTTACCAAACTTCACTCTTTCAGCTGCAGCGTTTACTTTTTCCCTTAATAAATCCTATAATTGAATTTTCTACTGGTAATTTCTCAGGAGCTGTCACTACCATGAACTGTGGGTGCGCATTGTGCACCACCCCTAAAACCTGTGTGGACCCAAGAAAAATGATTTCCTATTTTTTCTCTCATTAGTCATAGCCATTGTCTCTCTGGCTTCCTTCTCTATTTCTGGTTGTGTTGGCCTTTTCAACATTTAATGGACGGAATTTTTTTTTGCCCTGTACTTTACGCTTAGATGTTTGTTGGTCAATAATGCCACTTAATTGATTGCCGTTGATAAGGTTATTTTAGTAATTTAATTAAGATATAATCACCTAATTTCCAAGTTGTCAATCAAATCTGACCAATTTCTGAGTGTTTGTTTGTTAATCATCATTTCGGAACTTATGTCATGTAGAAAATTTATATGTAATAGGTGCTTAATTTGGACTAAAGGGTATATCTTTCATTTATTAATTATCTGCAAGATCATGACATATTAACTAGATTCTAACTACTTAAGACTAAAAATACCTACACATTGAAGAATATCATATAATTCAAAATTGCTTAAATTTGATTAGAGTTTATTAGCTTAGATTAGAGGTACTTTTTGACTATTATGGGAGTATTGTTAAACTTTATCCATATAACTTTTTAGCTTCTTAGCTCTGTTTACTTTACATTTAATGGATTTAAGGGAAGGTGATAAATTTATCAACCCACCTAAATGTAAAAGAGGATACACCAGTTTTATAATCCTTCAAGAGAAGGAGTGGGTCCAAAAGAAGGATAAGTCGACATGTTTCCTTAAGTGCAGATGAATGACTTTTGGGGGTAAAGTGGAGTTGGGGTAGGTTTGGGTCCTTTAATATTGGAATTATTGTACACATTGTAGTCAGAGGCTCGTGGTTTGATCTTCTTTTTTACCCACTGTAGGGCGGCTAGTGAGATGTCCTTGTCTTCTGGATTTATAGTGCCAGGCATTCATTTCAGCCTTTAGATAATAGATACACAACTTCATTTCTTTTAAGGTTTCTTTTTCATTGTCTTTCCTTTGAAATTTCAAGTTGGTGCCTATATGAATTTCTTTGGCGCCATTATGAATTTAAAAGGTCCTCAACCGAAAAGTGTTCCATATATTAAATGGAGATCATGTCTGCTCATCGAATCAGTTAAATTGCAATCCACCAACTCAGTTCTAATGCCATAATCAATGTGATTCTCCTTTGACAGTAATTGAAATGAGTTATGGAGTGAAAATAATTTTGTTAATATATGTCAGTCTGTGATTATAATTTTGGTCGATAATTTATTTTTATGGATATCTTGAAGGCGAGGAGGGCTTTGCGAGCTTTAAAAGCATTAGTAAGGCTTCAGGCGTTGGTAAGAGGTCATATTCAGAGAAAACAAACTGCAGAGTGGCTTCATCGAATGCAATCTTTATTGAAAGCCCAGGCACGAGCGCGTGCAGGACGTGCACAGATCTCTGAATCTTCCCACTCAAGCAGCAAGTCTTCTCACTTTCACCACCCTGTAAGTAATAATGTAATTTTCAATTTTTCCCTTCAACAATTAGATTCTTTCTGCTGGAAATTGTTGAGAACTAAAGTACTTTATGGATTGTGGTCCTGGTTATTTAGAGCTCGAGATGTCCTTTTTTTAGCATGCATTAATTTATGGGTTTTAAACCAAATAAGTTTGACAGATTGGAATTGCGGAAGAGATGTTCTTTCACATCAATGTGAAAAATTATTTGTTATTTTCTTGACCATTGCATGCCCGATGGAATCTGCAATTTGGTGTTTGTACTGTTCAGTAATTGCATGTGGGACCTTAATCATTCTTATAAATTATGAATGGAGCGTGGCATTTACTATGGAATTGTTCTATTGAAGATACTTGGGGTCCATATGTTAGATTTGCATCAATTAATAAGTACCGGAGACCATATTAAACTTCAAGACAATTTACAGGGCCGTCCAACCCCAGAAAAAGTTGAACATGCAATCCGAGCTAGAAGTGGAAAATATGAACAGTCGTCAATGCTGAAGGTATCCTTGTCTCTCAATTGCCTCTTAGAAGAAAAATTATTTATATGTAATTGTTCATGCCTAATACACAGTATTTAAATATGCAGAGGACTGGATCAAGATCTACTTGCAGGGCAATTAGCGATGAAGATAAAACACATTTATCCTTTAATTGGTCAGAACGTTGCATGGATGACAGATCATGGGAGCAAAGAGTGCCTTGGACAAGAAGCAGCCCTATGGATGATGAGAAGAGTGATAAAATTCTCGAAATAGATACTGGGAAACCGCACTTCACTCCTAAGCGTAGAAACCTTTTTCACTCCTCTCATCATGCTTTGGGTTCAGATCAATATAGTCATAGTTTCACAACTTCAAAAGACTCGACAACCCATCAAACAGTTCCAAGTCCATCATCTGGTGAAGTTCAGTCTTTAACTCCACTGAAATTTCCTCGGCAGGATGAGGAGGCCTTTTGCACTGCTGAAAATAGCCCTCAATTCTACTCTGCATCATCAAAGGGTGGCGGCGGTAGGCGAAGTCCCTTCACTCCTAGTAAGAGTGATGGTTCAGCAAGCTTTCAAAGCGGCTACTCGGAATATTACCCGAATTACATGTCTTATACTGAATCTTCAAAGGCAAAAGTGAGATCTCTTAGTGCTCCGAGGCAAAGGCCGCAGTATGAGAGATCAAGTTCAGTAAAGAGGTACTCCCTTCATGGTTTTGGCGAAACTAGATCAAGCAGTGCCCAAAGAGCATCAGCTTTGCGTGCAAGCTTTACCAGCAAAGCATATCCAGGATCTGGTCGCTTGGACAGGCTTGGAATGCCTGTTGGACAGAGATTCTAATACATAATTTCAAGGATTCTAGTTTTGGAGTAGCTCATTCTAATCTGGCTAACTAATGTGACTTTAGTTAATACTTGATTTGTAGTTTGTGTAAGATATGTTTAAGCTTTTAATGTCAGATGGTTAATGTAAAACCTGACAACACTAAGAATCCAATGAATATCTTATATTTAAGTGCAAGTGACATTTCTATAATATGAAGACCGAACTAAGGCTTAATCATCAAAGATAAAAGGGAAAGATAGCAGACATGGAAATTACAGGATATAAAAAGAATCGGTTTAGGACATGCAACTTTGTGCAGGAATCTTTCCTCGAGTTAACTCAGTTGAAAGCCAAATGTGCAGTGGCGTATGGTCAATTAAATGCAACTTTGTTAGGAAAGGTAATAGGTTCGGGGAAGGTTGTGGTTCCTTTTTCTCATTTATTTGTACTTTGGTCTGTATGATCGGTTGGATAATCAACATCACTTATAAAAGTTCACTCTTCTAATTTGGGGTCCACAATCTCTCTTTCGTCTTTTCTTCATAAATCAAAAGATTTGTTAGCGGCTTCATAAATTAATTTCTATCCTTAGAAAAAAGGGATCATTATTTTAATTTTCTTTTAATATTATTGGTTCAATTAAATTTTAAATTCTGTGACCAATTCAGTTCTTTATTTTTTTTTTTTATTTTTGATTCAATTTCATCTAATTTTTGTTTAAGAAAATATTAAAAAAGTACAAAACACGTGAACGCTTATATTAAAGGATAATTATTATCTTTCGCTAAAAAAAAAAAAAAAAAAAAAAAATATTAAAAAAGTACAAAACACGTGAACGCTTATAAAGGATTAATTATTATCTTCGCTAAAAAAAAAAAAAAAAAAAAAAACAAAAAAAAAAAAAAAAAAAAAAAATCAATTACTGCGAGTGTTTGTATTTGTACTTTAGAAATTTAGAAAATAAAAGAAAATGTTGTCTATTTGGTGGGGAAGTTTGATGATTGAAAAAGTTAAAAAAATAATTATGAACAATGAAAACTTTGTAACTTTTGCAAATTTATAAAAATAACAAAAATTGAATCCAGTGCGTCCTAAAATAAAAAATCAGAAGCTAAATTAGTTGCAAATAATTCTAAACCTAAATACAATTTTTTTTTTTAGAAAAAAAGGCCGGCATCAATTTTAACTTTGATCTTCTTTTGAACGATCGAGCAGCAAATGATTCGGCGAAAATATGAATTATCGTCTTTTAAGTCATTAATATTGTTGGCGCAAACAGCTCATCAAGGTGTCGTGGTGTAGTTGGTTATCACGTCAGTCTAACACACTGAAGGTCTCCAGTTCGAGTCTGGGCGACGCCACATGCGATAAAATATAGTATCATATTTTTTTGGTCTCCCACCTAAGGCAAAATAAGCTAGCTGACTAAGCAAGCATCAGCCCAAGAGCTAAGAAATAGGTGCAAAAATTAGCTTTTGAGATGGCAATGTCATAACTGCAAAGTATGAATACAATGACAAAACATCTGTATGTAACATTACTCTATTTAATCCAAAATAATGCTCAGTACCATATACCACTATTCATGTACAAGTGTAAAAGGCAATCAAAACAAATGAACAAATGAAAATAAATAGAAATCAAAGAAAAGGTAACAGAAAATGAAATCTTAACAAGGTTCCCATAAATTATCCAAGAAAAAAAAGGTGACAAATTCACATCAGTTATCACATTTCCATTTTGATGTAGGCACACAGCTTAGGTAATGGCACCAACTGCAGTGTTTATTTCCATTCTCTCCTCTGAATAGCATCACCAATCCCACTGTAAAACTGAAATATATAAAAATGGAAACTTGGAATTAGCATCTCCAACCGTGCCACTTGGCACATACATATAATTTGCATTTAAAAACAACACACAAAAAAAAAAAAAAACAAAGTAACACTAGTATGTAACAACTTCACTTGCATTAAAGCCAACTTTTAACAACAGTGTTTAGTGTTTTGAGTAAGCTCAAATCACTACCCCTCTATTAGGTATAGTGTTTGACGGCATTTAAAATAATGTTTCGAGTTTGAGAAAACGGATTATGAAACATTACTCCTTTTAATATTTGATAAAACACAAGTAAAACAGCTTACAGTTAGTAAGACAACTAACAGGTGATTTTGTTGAATGAGGCCTAAATCAAGTCACTTGAGCAATTTCATAAGATTTCAATGGGCTGATATTTATCACATTTATCTAGGTCAGTCATTTTTATGTCATGAGAATTAAGTTCTCATTTTGACAACTTACCCAACAATAAGTAAAGCCACAGCAACCAGTAACAACACGTATTGGTAAGCCGTGTGCCTAGATTTTACACGAGCTTCAGCGGGAAGATTTCGGCTTTCATACCACCCAAACTGAGGACGAAGTAATATGACAAAACCCAGGAGAAAACCAGTCAAGAAACCTCCAATATGTGCAAAGTTGTCAACATGTGGAAGAATTCCAACAGCCAAGTTAATGGCAATGATGATGACAAGAGTGAATAAAGCTGCAATCTGCAAGAGCAAGAAAAGATAAAACAGTCATATATCATGTGCCTAACCAATTATTTGATCACATTTTTTCTCAATGGAAAACAAATCTTTATGACAATAAAGACACACGCATCAGTTTCAACAACTGACGCAAGTGAACTACAGTACTAGCAATTTTTATAAAGCAGTCTCAAACTGGTGATCTTAGTGTATTGCTATTTAAAAGCCAAAAATACACATTTACCAGGCACTGCCTTTTGTGTTGGCTTGTTTCCTGGTTCAATTATACAGGAACACAGTTTATCCAATTTTATTAAAAACCTTAAAGTTACTAAACTCTTATACTCCAAAAATTTCATAAGCAAATAAACTAAGGATTAGTAACAGACCTTGTTACTATAGATTGTCCAGTTAGTAAGAAGCTCTGATAACATTGCTCCAAGAAGACCAAACAAAGCACCAGAGGCACCAACAGAAATGTTCTGCTGAATAAAAAGGGAAGACAATATGCTTCCTCCAAATCCTGATAATAGGTAGAGTGTCCCAACTCGCACTGCAAGAATATGGTCCAAAAACACACGTAAGAATGTGTGCATTTAAAGACGATAATAAAATTTGAATGCACAAACACCTCTCGGAACTTCATTTTCTAGGTAGGCTGATTTGATGCTCAAAGAGTCATAGCAAAAGCAAACATGAAACTGTCAAGATTTCAGATTTTGACATCCCAAAAATTATGTAACATATCATTTGCAGCCACTTTTTTTATTTATGTATATATATAAAGAGAGAGATGTAGTAAAATAAAATCGAAGGGACAAAATGAGAGCAAAAAAGGGGATGAAAAAAAATTCAATATGAAAATTAGAGGGAAGGAACATTTACCAAATCCAAATTGTTGTTCCAGGCGAATCCCAATAAAGACCAAACTAAGCATATTTGCGAGGAGATGAATAACACCTGCATGCAACCACACACAAGTGATGAGTCTCCATCCTTGATGTCCATGCACGACCTTGTTCCACTTCAGGGCTCCCATTTTCTCCAATCTAGACAATATAAAAAGTATTAAGCTTAAAATCAGAATATAAGTTATGGTATCAATGATTATGAAGGGAACCAGAAGATAGAAGCAAATTGAGTATAACAAGCAGAACATATATTTGTCTAAAATATAAAGCTTCCAGTTAGATTCATATTATGTCTCAAAGCAAACTATTATCAAAATACATGGTGTGTGAAATGAAAGAAATATATCAGAAATATGGTATTGTCATTTGCCAATCATTTTCTACATCAACCTCCTATTTCATGCAATTGATCTTTAATTACCTCCACAAGATGTAAATGGCAAGAAGAATTGCAATAGTTAACAAGAGAAAAGAGCTTCTCATAATCACAGAAGTAAATAGTATAAAACTGGAAAAAGTATTAGCGGAAAACAATTCAGCTTTAGTCGAGTTCTTATAGCTTATCCAAATATAGGTTTCCTATGAGCTCAGCACAACTGTATGTTATTTATTGCTTAGAGATGGAAACTGAAGTGCTCCACAATATTAAACCGTCCACAAATAGATTTTCAATTGCCAGACGATTCTCAATGATTCGATTTAAGCAAATCATGGTCTATCCAAACAATAATTAAATTGCACAAGCTCAACAGAAAACCAATATTCAATTTTGCGAATTACTCGAAAAGTTATGAAAAAGCAGAAGATTACCCATAACCAACAAAACAAGAGCAGTATAAAGGACAACCTTTTTCAGCATAATCTTGAAATAGATTATTCTACACATAACCCCTATAGAATTTGATAAACTAGTTAACTAAATAACATGATTAATACATCAAGCACCAAAATAGGTGGAGAACAACAAGAAACCGCAAATCAATCCATACAAGGGAAAAGGAGGGGAGTCTAACGACAAACAGAGGACCCCATTATCTCAAGCCAATTGCAACTAAAGGAAAAGACAATAACTTGAAGAACTATCAGTAGCATATACTCAATCAAAATAATCGAAAAAAATATATCAATCAAAAACCCACATCAGACCGAATAAAATCCACAAAATTTAGAATATAAGCCAAAAGCATTTCAAACTCACGTAGAAGAAGATGGACCAAATAAAGGGTTCTCTTTCAAAGGCTGAAACGAAAGCCTGCCAAGGAACCTAGCCACGCAACTACCTTCAAAACCCAGATTGTTTTTGGGACAATTGTTGACATACATCGTAACAATGAACACAGCAACATTAGCAACAACAAACATAGGAATCAGCCATGATGTCCATTGCTTATCCGCGGTTTCAACATAGTAAAAGCGGTTATTATTGTTGTATCCTCTGTTCTTTGTCCCTCTCTCTAGATCACCACTTGCCATTCTCTCTCTCTATCTCTCTCTTATCTCTAGATATGAGAAATGAACTAACAATTTTTCTGGAGAGTGAAGGAATCAAAAAGAGATTTTATACGTGTTGGAGTTGGAAGAATTAAGAAGTGACTTGTAAGGGAGCTGGTGAAGGAAATCAAAAACAAAGGCGAAGGAAGAAAAGTTCCTGTGTCTGTTCTCTTTGTTTTCTTTCTCCTTATGGTCCATGTTGCAATAAACTTATGGTCCATGTGTTGTTGTTCTCACTCTACGTGGCTTGCTGTTGGTGGGTCTATTACGTTGAGAATGTGATAAGAAAAATATGATCACAATTACTTATATACCCTTTGTTTTTATTAATGCATTAAGTAGTCAAGTACGCTTAACCCAAAAATATACTAATAAAGCACATCCTAAATTCTTATTTGGGTTGCTAATTTGTGATAAATAGATTTTTAGGGTTAATTTGTGTTGAGAGGTGATTTAAAATGGAAACACTTGTCTATATTAAGTATATGAATCGACTCTATACAACAAACCAATTCAAAATAAATTTTTTATTGTAACGAAAGTATTATCAATTATTCACTAAAAAGAAATAATAAATCAATAACAATATTTTATGAATTCACTTGGTTTATAGGAATAGGACCACTCATATACCACATGTATGCAAATTCAAAAAAGCTAGATTTTTTGTATTTATAAGGATGAGAAGTTCATAACTAATAAGAATTCCTTAGTATATGGCAATTAATGGGATTGGTACAAACATTTAAATGGTTAAGTTGGAAATTTGGAAAGGTGAGAAGGAGACCTTGTAATCTATAGTTAAAGACTTAACAATGGAGATGAAAACTACTTCACCATTGAAATGATAGATAGTGTAAGAACTACTTTTAAACCTATTTTCCTTAAATCAATATATGATGATCTCATTTGCCATTGGATCTTTTCCTTCAATCAATGAACTTATCAATCGTTCAAGTCTTAGCTATAATATAGAAACTCAAGCTAAAACTAACCAAATCAAGAACTTGGTCAACACGGTTTTATCACATATCTACATGTAGAACAAAGGGAAATATATATATATATATATATAAAGGAATACTTAAAAACAATAAAAAGTGTTGAGAGATTGGAAAAGCATAAAAATGGAAGTTGAGTACATTTGTGTCCTTTGGTTTTATTTTGTTCATTGCATTTCATATTAAAGGAAGTTTTTGTGCCTTTTAACACACTTCACGCATTTACATAAAGTGACTAAAAATGTATTAATTCTTCTTAAAGACTGATCTTTTTCCCCTCGGATGACATAATTACTTCTTGTCTTCTTTTGTCCATGATGATGAGCCTCTCATTCTTTAGTAAAAAGTTGATTAATATTTTGAGAGTTATGCTAATTAGAAAGTGATGATACTCTCTGTTCCTTTTCATTTTAATAAAATTAGGAGTAGTTAATTTTTTGAAACTGTAAAGCGAAAAAATTTTTTATTCTCTTTATAAATATATTTTTTGGGATCAAACTTGTATAATAATCTTTACGAAAATGGAAATGGCTCCCACTTTAACAAATGCATCCTTTTTAGTCTGTTTTTTATGAAAATAATTTGTTTTATGGGTTGGGTTGGGAAGAAATCTTGTTTAGTGTTTAGGTATGAGTTATGGCATTAAATGATTTGATCACACTCTAAACAAACAAGTCACAACTTGCTGTATTCGTACGATAATCTTGCAACATTTCAACATAAATGACGTTGTTTTGGCGTAGTCAATTTTTTCTTAACTTCAGAAGTATCTATTTTCCATGGACAACTGCAAAGTCAACTCAACGTAAATGACATAAAATATTTATTTTTTCTCTTGTTAATTCATAAACTTGATAGTAATACTAATACTTAGACCAGATGATTATAAACTTAATGAAGGATAGATACAGAGTGAGAAATGGAGGACATTTGGGAGCGAGTAATGAAACAGAAAGGAAGGGAAGTGGAACGCGGTGGAATATATATAGTGGGTTGGAGTTTGTTTTGCGTGTGAAAGCAGAAAAGGTAGAATGGGAAGGGTCAGAACGTGTAGTATATTTGAAGAAGAGTGCGTGTGAAAAGCAAGTAGCAGCTTTGCAATTTATGTGTATTTGGTTTTTGATTGCTTTGGTTGTGAGTTGGCAGCTAGCTGACTGCTTTTGGTTTTTGGTTGTTAGGTAATTCAAATCCACTTCTTATGTCTTAGAAGCTACTCTCTCTTTCTCAATCTGACAACGATTGATACAATGTATGGTGGACCATAAAATCATGCGATCACCCTCAACCTCCTCTTCTTGTGGCCACAAACATAAAATGGATAAATATCATACACGCTTTGCTGTCTTCTGCGGGCAAAAATAAAAACCACCAAAATGATTCTGTATCTTTTTGGCGTCGCCCGGACTCGAACCGGAGACCTTCAGTGTGTTAGACTGACGTGATAACCAACTACACCACGACACCTTGTTGATGCGAATGGCTTTTCTTAATGTGTTACTTCATGAAAACTGCATAAAATCATCATTTTTAATTAACATGAATTTTTTCATCCCAAACCTTATAACTGGGGAAGAAAAGAACGAAAAAGAAAAAAAAAAAACATAATTTTTAAGTGCTTAATTAACGAGGTCCCATTGGTGTATAGGTAGATCTGTAGTTCAGTTTTTAATTTTGTAAAATCATGAAAGTTTGATTGATTATAGTAAATAATTAATATTAATAATTAATATTTCATTCTCTTAAAAAAATCATTAAGACTAGTCTCTTGCTATTGAGTAAAATTTTTACATTCCTAGACTGAATGAAAAACAGTGAGACCATGTCCTCTGTACAAAGAGAGCTGAAATCCACCAAGGTGATAAAACCACAGCCATTTGTAGAAATATCAAAGATATTCGAGAAAAAACATATGTGCAAAAAAATGTTCAAAGTGAAAATGAAAGAGGGAAAGCTTTCTTTTTTTTTCTGCAATAGAAACCGGAAGTCACAACTCACAAGTAAAACAACAATCTCGCAATTGCAAAAGCCCAACTAAGCCTACGACTCGAAGAGCCAGAGCAAGGTGAATACTGAAGAATCCATCTGAGCAAAACTAAAATTCCATCTCAATTCCCACTTACAAGATTAGGAATATTTCAATTTTGTTCAGTAAGGTTATCAAGACCACAAGTCATCACTCAAAAAGAACTTTGAAATAAATAGCAGAAGTAATTCTCCCAACACAACATCATCAGAAAAAAATCACGAAAGGTTGGACTACAAGATCAATAAAGTATCCATACATGAATAAGGAAATGAAAAATTTTGAATTCTTTAAGCTACTTAATGACGAGGAAATTAAAGATTTAAGGAAATCATCGCTTTCCGCCGCCACCACCAAGCTTGGGTCCCTTCGGTGCAGCACCCTTGCCCACATTGCTCTTGCCTTGGGTCTTCTGTGTCTTGGCCATCACCTCAGCTTTCTTTGCCTTTTTCTCATCCTTGGTTTTCTTGATCCTCTCCTTGATTTCACTGAAAATGGCAACTAGTCAATATATGTAAATGTAATTATAAGGCACAAGTAGCTTCACAATGCATATCCAAGCAAACTACTTCAATTAAGAACTGCATAGCAAATCATATGAAAAAAAAAAAAAAAAAAAAGAACTGCATACAAATCATTATGAAAAAAAAAAAAAAAAAAGAAAGAAAAGAAAACAGCATACCGCAAAGCAGTTTTCACGGTAGTCCAGACATCTCGAACACTCTGGGCCTTCTCAGTTTCTTCTCTCTTCTGTACGGAAAAAAAAAAAAAAAAAAAAGAAAGAAAAGAAACAGCATACCGCAAAGCAGCTTCACGAGCAGCATCTCGAACCTCTGGCTTCTCAGTTCTCCTCTTCTGTATCACTTCCAAGGTGGCACCAACAATAGACCGTGAGTATGGCTTCTTGGTGGTTCTGCGCTTCTTCTTAACAGCCTCAGCAGAAATGTCCTACAAACAAGAGATACACATAATTTAACATCAAGTGAAGCAGAGAGAGATAGAGCATTTCAAGTAGCCAATACCTTCTTGTGTTGTTTCCTGTACATGGCTGTCCAAGTAAGCTTTGAAGGCTTCAGGCGGTTGTGGAAATACCTCTTGCATTTTGAATTGGCAAAGAGGAAAACCTTCACCAATCACAGGTCAAATACAATATTTAGTCAATTAACATGCAATGAAGAAAAAAAACAATTGAAAGATAACTATAATTGAAAAAAAGAACAAAGTTGCAAAATTGATCACCTGAGAATCAGATCGAATAAATCTGATACCCTTGCCAGGGTAAATCTTGGCACCACTGAAGCGGCAAAGCTCAGTCCTAATATGCAATAACCATAACCAAATATTAAATTGGACCTATAAAACTTGACAACAGAAATATAAAACCATAACTGAGGATGCCTTTAGCAAGAGAAGGATGCTGAAGAAGACACAGCTTGCTATATATAAATATAATAAGCAACAAACTTGTAATGTACCCTGTATAAATATAGAAGAACCAACAACATCTACAACTGAGGGTAAAGTTCAGTTTATTTCTAAAGTTGATAACTTTTTCCGCTCAAGTCCGTGGATTTTGGGGCTTAAAGATCCTTTAAAAAAAAGATTTAAAGTTCGAATCCACATGAGAAAAAAAAAACACGAATCAAACAAATAATAATGTGAAGCTCACTGAAATACAAAATTAAATAAGAAATCTTCGTAATTTTTAACTACATTATCTGATACTAATGCCTAAAACAACTAAAATACAGAGATTCAGCATTTACATAATTGGAGAAATGAACACGAAGGATTCAGCATCCAATCTATGAGATATTCAGTTAATGTGCATTAAAATACAAAGAGAAATTGCTGCGAGTAAGAGATAGAGAGAAAGCGTACTTGAGAACCATGGCGAAAGAAAGATGACGATGATGATGGCGTCGCCGCTCTGCTGGTGCTGGGTCTCAGAAACCCTAAACCACCAAGCCTTCAATTTAACGCTAGCGAAAAACCCCAGTAGAGCAAAAAGAATGACGAAATGGTGTCGTTTGCGTTGTGGGCCTTTTGTCCTTTTAGAAAAGCGGAAGCCCAAAGCCTAAGGCTTTCCAAAACGAAACGGGCTCCAAGCCTGACATGTGCTTCATAATATGCACTGCTTACAAAATAAAATTTTTTGTTAAGAAAAAAAAAAAGAATCATATTAATATTCTTAAATCAATTGAATAATCTCCATTCTAATTTAGATGTTGATAACGACCAATATGATTAAGATTAGTTTTATTACTGCATCTGTTACATAATATTTATCACATTTGAAATTTTACGTTCCTTAAGAAAATTATTAAATTTATCTAAGTTATAATAAATTAATGATATTATCCTTAATTTAAAACTAATTCTCTAAGAAAATCATTAAATTTAAGTAATAATTATCGGTCATATATAAAAGATAAACATGAAAAAAAAATTTATTATTCTTTGAAACTACAAATGTGATACTTGCATTCGTGCTTTAGCATAAATAGTACTTTAAAGAATGTATTTATTCACAAATTTTGAAAAATATTTACACGTTCCTTAAGAAAATTGATTAATAGTATTTTATCTAAGTTATAATAAATTAATGATATTATCCTTAATTTAAAACTAATTCCTCTAAGAAAATCCATTAAAATTTGAAGGCACGTAAACTTTAATGGTCACTCCGGGAACACATATATATAAAGAATAAACATGAAAAGCACATAATATATTTTCTATAACTTAAACAACTACCAACAATAACTAGTGACCACGACAGACTCCTTTTTTTTTTTTTTTTTTTTTTTTGGATGCGGAGGGATAAATTTATCATATAATCATCCAGAATGTGATAGAATAGTCATCGTTATGGTAATGAGCAGAAGGGGTACCGTAATTTCAGTAAGATTTTTTTAACAGACTTCTTGGTTTTCTAATCATTGTTCACCTTTTTCTTGGGTTTTCTTTTTTATTTTTCTGAAAGTTGCATATATAAGACTTATAAGTAATGTAAAAAATTTTTAGATATTATTGCTTAATTATTATATGATTTAGAATTTTAAAAAAAGTATAAATCTCAATCAAAGCAAAATGTAAACGCTAGTATATAGTGTGGCGTACTTTTATTTTTAATATTAAAAGGGCAACATCCAATTGTTTCAAAATTAAAATTGGTTTTGTTACGTAATTTGTTATCAGATGCACACTGCCTACTCAAACCGTTTGGTGGTTCCACGATGGGCGCGGAGCAAGAGCAGTGTGCTTTTGGTCCTTTTGCTAGATACGCATTGAAGCCTTGAAGGATGAAGGTTAGATGGTAAAGGCGTGTTAAAATTCAGCCACCATATATTGCGTTTTATTTGGCAATTGATCCGCCACATCTTCTATTTGGAAACTTTTGTATTAACTTTTCAAATCCCGCTCCCTTCTTCCTCCCATGTTTTTCACATGAAAGTTCGGAAAAAAAAAAATAATTTTAATTGAATTTTGAAAATTAAATAGAATAAAAAAAACTAACTACAAATTATATTTTTTATAATGATTTCGTTAAAATCATTGTCTAATAAAAGAATAAAGTATCATAAAAGACTGAAAGAGTAGGAAAAAAAAAAAAAAAATAAAATTCAAAAATGGAAGTGAATTGAACCTTCACTATCACACTCTTCCTACTTACCGTTCGCATTCAAAGATTGAAAACTTAAAACTATGTAACTCCCGGACTCATTTTATGTATTCCTTCTCTAAAGAAACATTAAATTGAAAATATAATTATTTAGTCGAGATTTCAAACTCGCCGAAGAAAAGCGAAACTATACGCGATAAGTTGATAAGTTGAGACAGACGGCGTAAGATCCTAAACTTTCACTTCACTGCTTACTTCTGCTCCCTTATCAAACAAATTCATCCTATTGCCTTGAAACCAAAAGTGCCAAAGATTTCTACTAAGATTACAGAGGGTATTATTCTTCCATTTCTATGGAATAGTCCCATTATTTTACTCGCTTTTCTTTCTTCACCTCTCTAATTACCATCTACTCACTAAAATGTTATCTCGGACTTCGAGACTTACCCCTATATCCTCTGTGAACACCGTTCATCGGTAGTTCGATATTATTACATTATAACACTCGTCAAAACCACTAAATATTTAAAAGATATTTGATCCATAGCCTTAATTACTTTCTCCACAAATGAAAATTCTTTTTTAATTATTCTTAATTCTTGTTTACGGGCCCACTCGACATATGGGCGCGTAGCCTTTACGAACAAGAATCTAATGCACTCTAGGGATGACTTCCAACACTGGTGTAATATGTTCGAATGAATGTATGACCTGCATTAAAGAGAATAAAAACTAATTCACTATTGGTTGAGTTAAACCTGATTTGAATGAATGTTATTTTACCGATTTACAACTTGTGTTTATAAACACAGAAAAATTATTCACCCCACACATAATTGTCTGTTTGATTGCTTTTTTTTTTTTTTTTTTTTTTTTTTTTTTTTTTTATCTGTGAGGGACGCCTATCTTTTGCACTGCCCCGTGTGACTTACCATCAACTTGTGTTTGCCTTAATTGTCATCTAGATACATTACGTGATCGCAGTACTAGATTTCTAAATCCATAAAACCATTAAATCACATGGTGAAGTTTTAATGATTATCACAAACCACAAAAGAATGTCATTTTTTGTTAAATTCAAAATTATAACGTGTCAGATTCACTCATTTGCGCTTCATTCAAGTTTAGCTTATTTGCATTGTTTAGGGTCTTTTTTCGTACGCTACGGCAGATTTTATTAACGTCCCCGATCTCAAAATTATTCAACTTTTACTGATTGGGGCAAGACAATGTTAACGAGTTTCAAAAGTTTGGAGTCGAAAGCATCGTAAGAAACTTGTGCGCCAGCGAAGGGGCCGGTGGACATTTCGAGTGTTCCAAGTTCCTAAACGTCGTTCCATCTCAAAACATATGGCGTCATATAATAAGGTTAATTAAAGATAGACCATTAGACATATCAGATTATTAGTTACACGCGGAACGTATTCCAAAATGTTGATTTTTCTAAACGATAGCTTAATTCGCAGTGGAGACGGTGACTATGTCAAGAGGGCATCCATGAATATAGTAGATCTAGTACCTCCCATGTGCAAACTCCGGTAAATTTTTCACGTGTCAAGATGCTATTTAAATACTACTGTGTAAGAAAAAGTACACACTAAAGAATCCAAAAGAGCCACTAGAGAGGTGGATTCGTTCTAAACTCTGATTAATCTTAAGTAAAAAAAAGGCTTGAATGAAAAAGTTTTCAATTGGCTGATAGGGTATAGCTGTGTCCCATCTGCAGTTCGGCCATAATTAAGTGGCTTTACCTTACCTTTTGTACCTACATTAACTGTTATATGAGCTTGCCTTTAAAAGACAATGTTCATACGAATTATTTTGACGGCAGCCAACATTATCAATCAGGCAAGCTGGGGTCGATGCTTTTGTGCCATGCATATGCACACTATTTATTTTCTGAATACCAGTCATCAGAACATAGTAAGCAATACAAAATAAAATGGCTTTCGTGCTTTATTTCGTTTTCCCTATGACTTGCGCAGATTGGTTTTGATGCCTTGAGGAGAAACTTATTGTCTCATTTTCTGGCCTCAAAATAGTCATTATGAAGTGTAATGTGGTCAGACCCAGAGTATCAAGAAGAGGCTCAAGAGAAGTCCCAGCTGAAATTTCCCTTGGCCAGATTTTCTTATGAGTCAGATACGACAGCGGGGAGGAGGTTCATGGATCGGCGCGCTCCGGCGCTTCGGCTGGAAGGCTCGACTTTATTGTTCCCAGCTACAGGTCCGTTTCCATATTTGATATCTTAATGCATTTACATAATTACACGCGTAGATGTCATATCCATGTTGGAATAATAGTATTTGAGCGTAGGCGATCAGTTTTCCTTTGATTGATACGTAGCTTTGCCGAGAGAGGCTGCGAACTTTTTTCAGTAAGGTTGGCATGGTAACATATCGAGTCAATGGCGGTACTATATTTTTTATTGTAGCCTATAGAAAGGCTGGTGACGGGTCTCGAAGAAGAGATTTCCATTGATAACTTGTCATTTAAAGATTCAAAGGATGTCGGTGTTCTGGAGTTTGATGATTCCACATAATGGGGCTTTCGAAGCAAGGTCAAAATGTTTGGGTTCCACAATTTAATGGGTTTATGGTTTTATGCCTATCGCTATAATTGTTTGAGATAGCGAATGAGTATGTTTTTGGTCAGGCGCGTTTGGAATGCATGGATAGTTGTATTTCTTCTGAATTTTTGAAAATTATAATATTTATTTTTAGTAACGTTGCTTTTCCAGTTTCTATTCATTGTTTTAAAGGAGCCAGATGTGCTTTCAATTTTTGAAAAGAGGGCAGAGAATCTTTTGCAAGATGTGTTGCCCCATTGGTAGGTTGACACCTCAAGGCAGATGTGGCGGTCGTTCTTGGTATTGACGTTTAATGATCTGCAGATAAGATAATACTTAAAGTGAGGTTGGATTGGGCTGCTCAGGTCGATTTTTGGCCTTTTATTTAATCAATATTAATCCCTAGATGGATATTTTTCCTAAAAAAGAGTATTAATCGAAGACAGCACTTCCTGTAGAATCTAATAATCGGCATGATCAAGACGTTTTGCGCAAAACAGGCAGTAGGGAGGTGTGTTAGTAGAAAAGCTTCTCTTCTTCTGCTATGACAATAGATAATCATTTCT